TACCAATATTAGAAAAATAAAAAAACCATTAGGGGCTTAAGGCATCAACAGAGAACATGTTTAATTAGAACGTACTATGATCTTTAATATAAACGGACCTTTGTAAAACACACTTCTACCAGGGAAGTGTTGACTTCAGTCACTAACTACTGTACTCTTGAGGACGTGGCAGTAACTGTGGCAACAAAATCATGGTGCTTTGGAAAAATGGGACTGCCCAGTATTCGGACTTGATAGTAGCCAGTTAGACTTAGTTGCTTGGTTTTAACTTATTGTTTATTCAAGATTTAGTATCCTAGTCTAGAAATTGCCTTTTATTCACATCTGTTACTTAAGAATTAGGAACCTTTTTTTTCTAAAATGTGTATGTGCGTGTCTAAAAGGTTCTCTGTCTTGTTTGGATTATGAGTGGATGTAACACAAAGACAAGTGGAAGCTGCTTAAAGTGATCCAAAAAAAGAATTGGCCCAGTAGGTGAAATGCAATAGTGAAACAGAATGCTTCTTCTTACTTCTGCTAGTGCAGCCTGGGACTCCTTCCTTTTTTGCTCTGCCTTGTAGGAAACCTTGAGGCAATAATTGTCTTCCATAATTTTTAGAGTTCTAACCTTGATGAAGCCTTTTTAATTACTTACAGATAGTTTATACCATTGTTACAAGAATGTGTAAACTTTAGTGTTTTGGTAATGTGTATGTTTCAGGGTTATTTTCGTGGTGTGTGCCAGGACCTTCAAGAGGCTCGGTCTGCTGTCGTAGAGAATAGTTGGCACTTAGGAGTATAATATGAGAATATAATAAAATACTGATTACACTGCATTCCTTTGTTTCAGATTTGCCAAGTGGAATATGTTTTCTTCCAGACATTAGGAATAACCAGGTAAAAGCTTTTCTAAATACAGTGAAATTAAAGGTTTTCTAATATTAATCTTGTAATTAGGCCTCCCAGACCTTCTGTGCGAGGAGGATGGAGGGCATTGAACTGTGTTTATTGTCTTGTATCAGTGTCCCTTAAGTTTGTAAAGGTGCTGGCATGTTGGTTGTGTCATGCCTCACTTTGCCTCCATTTTGCAGATCGCTTAATGTAATAAGTACCATGACAGCATCAGTCCATCCAATCTTCCTCAGTTGTGAAAATTGTTGTTTGCTCCTAGCCTCTGCTGTCTTATAGTCCTTTGTCAATGTAAGGACCTTGCATTTTATCCCGTTGTACTTAAGCTTAGTGAAAAGCCTTTTGAGGAACTGTTTGGAATACTTTTGGAAATTGGGGTAGACAGTATCAACCTGATCTGACTTGCCCCTGTATATGTTTGTTACTTTGAGGACTATGAGTTTAGATGACTTCTTCGCTGTCCTTAACATTAATAACTGCACCATTTGGAAGAACACAATCTTCCTGCTGCCTTTGTATTTGTGTGTTTGTATCTTTATCCCAGAGCTAGCAAATAGCTGCAGGTGTTGACAGGTAGGGTTAGACTTCAGCTCTTTTTTCTACTGTGTTAGGGAAACTGACAGCTGTGAACAGAGATACAAGGCAGACAGGAGTGGGAGATCTCCTGGTCCTTGTAGAAAATATGTGCCAAGCTGCAGCCAAATGCTGTCCAATATGTACTCCTTAATGTGTCAGCTGGCATTTGCTGAATTCATTTAGTTTTCTTGCATTCTGTTCTTGTAGGGCCCACAGTGGTCAGTGAGTTACAGTCAAATGCTCTCAGGCTGTCTTCTAAAAACCATAATTCAAGTTCCTTTCAAATTCTTTGCTTCCTAAACTTTGACTTTTTGCCGTCTGTCAAAGATGAATCTGTTAATCACAAAGAATGTGAGACTAAATCCAAAACAGACATTACATTGTACTGTTTTTAAAAATCATTCAGATATAGAAAAGATAGAATATTTACAGTTAGGTAGATTCAGCTGAAATATTACTTTATCAGTAATTTCGTGTGCTCGTTTGGAGAAATTTGCAACAAAATTGGATGTACAATTGCGGAGGAACTACTGTTTTAGCAGCATAGGAAACTATTGAGACTTGTCTTTGTACTTTAAGTTGGATTGCAGCTCAATAAATGGAGGAGGGCATTTTTTTCTAGTGTAAACTCTTTAATGCAGTGGTTCAGTACTTTAATTTTGAGGTCTTTTAAGTTTGGTGTCATACAGATGCTTTTTCCCCTCTTTCCCTCTTTTGATTGCTGTGTTTCTTGCATGCATCCATTCTGGAAACCAGCAGGCAAAGTCCATTGGAACTAGAGTGTTTGCTGGGATAAGTAGGAAAAAAAGTGTATGTGTAGTTTTGTAACATTATTAACCTCATTAATTGTTTATTATTAACTGAATTTATACAATAACTAGTAACTCCCAAAAACATTTCTCTATGGGTGCTTTTCACAGATTGGTCCATCTGAACCTTCTGAAAAGTTGATAGAAAGTGAAATCTCAAGTGATCACCTTAGCAATAGCCTTTCAAGTTTTTTGGAAAATGAGAAACTCTCATCTCTTCCAAGTTCAGACGAAGATGCCACTGGTAAGCGTGTTTATAACCCTTGGTAGTTGAGTCTATAATTGTGACTCAATGTTATTGCCCACTTTAGAAGGAAGATATTGTTTTACTGAAGTATTTATTACTGGATTATGCTGGATGAAGAACTAGTGTAGCAGTATGAAACGAAACTCTCTTCTTTGGAAAACTGATTATTTTAAAATTGTAACAGGACTAGGTGGCTGTGGAGTTTGTCAGAGAAGTTCACAATTGGAATTTTAATCTAAAATTAAACAACAGTCCTCAGTTACTGTGAATCAAAAATATAGATAGAAATGTGGGCTTTAATTTAGTAAAGTGGTAACCCTAGCTACAGTTTCAGTTCAGCTTGGTAGAGATAAACTTCTGTGGTGAAGACCATGCAAGAAAAATTGTGTCTTGGAAAACTTCTCACTTGGCAAATAGGAATAGTATTGTTATTAGTAGTAGCACTTAATATTTTTTGCCATTGAAATATAGAATATATATGTGTATGTTTCAGTCACTTTCAGGGAAGTTTTAATAATGTTACATATATTTTCCTTTTAATTTATAAGTACATATACGATTTACTAGTTGGGATGTGGTGGTGTATAGATGTGTGAAGGAAGATGAGTTATTTGATAGCCTGGAAGTTAAAATGGTAACTTGTGTCATCTTGTTTTGCTGTGTATCACTAGTTATGTGGTAATGTTTCTGTGACCCAGTTATTTTAAGGAAAAACAGGATAATTCTGATCTGATTGTGTGTTGTGAAACTCAATGTATTAGAAATTATGGAGCTGTTTTGATAGTATGTCAGGTGATATAACATGACCATTAAAAATAGTTATTTTCTTCTTTTTCAATAGATGATGATATTGATGATGCGGAATTCTTTGATAACGAACTAGAAGCCTATTTTGAGCAGCTGATAAAACCAGAAGTGATGAGAGGAGACACCAACCTGCAGAAACTCTCAGAATGCTGGCGAGCGCTGAAGCTTTCTGAAAATGGCTTATTTCAAGTAGGTTTAAAATTCAAAGCTCAGCATACCAAATGGTCCTTGAGCATGTTAAACGAACTTTCAGTAGCTAAATTTGTTGCTATTCTTAAATAGAACTAGTTTTAACTGTTTGTTTTGGTTTATTTTTTTATTTCTATAGCTATTAAGGGACTTCTTTCCTATCATACAGCGAGTTTATAAATACTCTCTTTGATCACTCCTTTTTTAAGTCTTGGATAGCAATGTCCAAAGTGTTATTAAGTGTACAGTGTCACAGACTTGTGTTTCCAGGAGAGTGAGTCAGTCTCTTAAATAATTGGTAAGTGTGTGAAAGGTAAATGTAGGGCAGCAACTGGCTGGCTTGTGGTTTGCCTTTGAGCAACGGTTAGCTCCCTTGCAAATAGGTTGCCAGGGATTAAGTGCCTTTCCATTTTCTTGACTTTGCAACAGTGGATGCGATGCTGGCAGTCTCATACTTGAGCAGAGTGGAAAAGTGTGATTGATTTTAAACAGTTAAATAAACTGTAGCTTCTGAAATTTCAGAAATTTCCCAACTGACATCAATTTCCAGGCTGTGGGAAGTGATGTTAACCCTGTACAAGTAGTCGGCATAGGCTGCCAGTTGCTGATCTATGGCTGTGCATGAAGAAAGGGATAAGTGGTTTAAAGAGTGAGAATAACAAGAGTTTTACTCTCTGATCTCAGGTCTTCTCTACTGGTGTAAGATCTTCCTGCTCTACAGTGTTGTAGATAGGCAGTGGGGCTCTGAGTTGGATTTGGAGTCCTCATCCAACAGTGGGTAACCAGAAGGGAAAGAGGAGTAGCACACTGCTCATGTTAGAGGGAATGAGAGCATATAGCAGGAAAAAAGAAGGGATCCTTCCATCTTCTTTCTGCCTTTGGAGGCAGGTGCACATGGATTGGCATAACCAGGAACTATTGTCCATGGTGGTGGTGCTGGCAGCTAGAGATGCCTATGGCAATGGCACAAGTAAACAAAGTATGATCATATCTTTACTACTAGGAAATTTTTTAATTGTAAAAAACCTGTTAATTTTTTTCCTTTGGTATATCTATTCTAGTGTAACTTTATTTTTTTTTTTTTTTAATTTAAAGGAGAACTTTCAGGATTCTGCCAGTTACAAGGCTGTGACAGGAGTAGACTCTGGAAATGCTAGTGATGAAGATTCACAAAATGAAAGATGTCCTGTGCAAAGAGAAATGCTACCTAGAGCAGTACAGCAACTGGTATAAAATTGCCATTCAAATTCCTGTTAATCTTATAGACTAAGGCTATAGTAGAAGATGACAGTGTGTTTGAAAACTTGCTAGAGGCTGAACTAACCACACAACCTTCCTTTAAAAAAATTTAATAACACCACTTGGTTTTTAGATTTTTTTTCGAGCATAGTTAACTTGGAATGTTTTGTATCTAGAACTGTTAGTACAAATAGCTAACAACCACACTTCTGACACTTTTCAAATGATTATTGTTTTTGAAGAATTCCGTGACTACTGGAGATGTGCTGGATTCCCGCCCTGCTGCTGAGTTGCGATTAGATTCACTGTATCTCCAGTGCATGGACAGCCGAAAAGCTGATGTCTCAGACATCCTTCCAAAGCAAGAAATACAGTCCTCTGACTGTCAGGCTGCTTCTTCTGATGCAGAAGTACTAAACACAGCAAGAGGGTTTTTGGGGCATGGCGCCACTCCTGAAGTTCTTAGTGCAAATGCACCTCAGGCAGAGGCACCTGAATGTGAAGTTGGTCTTCCTGATGCTTACCTGTCACCAACTGGAGACAACTCTGAGAACTTAAGTTTAGGTGCAACAGACAAAGGTAGGATGCTTTAGGTACAACCCATCTATGCAATTGGGACCACACTCTGTTGCGTGGAAAAAGAAATAAAATTGTAAGCTAGACATTTTTCTTCGGTTGTGGGAGTTGGTAATAAAAAACAATGTAGCATGAATAAATTTTGAGTTGCTTTTGTTTTAAGAAACACTTGTATGTTACACTTAAATGTTATTTTTTGCTGATGAAACTAGTTTAAGCTTGCAGTTGCAGCAACTTGAACTCTGGGTTTTTTTAAGTTGTTGCTGACTTCTGACAAAGGAACTTAATCTAGATTAATCTAACTTTGGTCTAAAATAAGGAGATTTTACTGTATTCTTTTTCATTTTAATCCACAGTGTGGCATTTCATATATCTTTCAGGTGATTTACCACACAGCATTGTCTATCAAAATGAAGAGGGCAGATGGGTGACTGATCTTGCATATTATACTTCATTTGATGAAGAACAAGATTTAAATCTGTCTGAGGATGATAAAATAAATGAGGAGTTCATTACTGGCTGTATGTAATCTTTTTTCCTTTTTAAATAGCTCTTGTCTGTAACAGTGTTAAGTAAACTTTCCTTTTTTTTTTCTTTTTCCCACTTCAACAAATCAGTATTTCGTGTTTTAAAGCCTCCAGGCTTTAGGTACTACAAATTATTTGAAAGTTGATGCTGATAATAGCCTACAGTGATATTATCATTATTTATAGCTGATAACTTCTTTCCATATTTCTTACTCTTCACAGGAAGGGTGTTTTGAAACCAAAGAAAAGGATTCTAACATGTGCCACTGTAGACAAATCAGTTCTAGATCACAAAAATGTCATCTAGTCATCTGTTTTACTAGATAGATTCAAACAATGTGTGCAGCAGTATTTCTCCTAGTCTCTTATGATTTCTAAAGCTGATATATGTATGGGCTACTGTATTCTCAGGATGTCCATGGTCCACTCAAGATTCTTCTTTCTTTCAAAAGAAAATGCTGTGTATGTTGTTGTCTAAAACTGTTTATTCTGAATGAGTGATCAAACTGGTTGAAATAATGGGGTTGACTGGTTGAAATAATGTTTTTCAACACCATAGTGGTTTTCTGCTGGTTCAAGCAAATATGATCCCATTTGGGAAAAACTACCCCATCTGCTGTGTCAATAAAGTAGTGCTCTTCCTTTATTTTTCAAATGCCATTGTATTTCTGACACATTCTTGCTTTTTAGACGTGCACTGTCAAATTCAAATATTGGACTGTTGTAAATTTTTCCAAGGCTGTTTAGGTTTTTCCCACCTGGTGGGTTTTTAAAGCAATTCTGCTTTTGAGCCAATTGGCTCACCTCTTTGCATGGTAGAGGATAACACACTTACAAATTCAAGGTTGTTAGCATTCTTCTGGCTGCTAGTTTGCTTGTCTGTCTGCAATGCTCAAGTGTGGAGTTGGACAGCTGTAGAAGCAGAAAGGAAATGTTGCATCTGATGCTTCTGAGTCTCATGACATCTGTCTGTCAGCAAGCTATGCATACAGTGTATTCTTGTATGGAGTAGTACAGGATTGCTCACTTGAGCGTTGAGTGCTTCAAAAGGTCTCCAGAGAGGTGTAATGCTTATACAGAGGATTAAGTAAGAACTAATATTGACTTAGAGTTCAACTGGATATCACTATGGGTCATTTCGTATTCCAACTTTGTTTCTTTTCTCAGAGCATGTATTGCAGCTTGTCATAAGTAATTTTATGGACAACACCTGTGTTTACTTTACAAGTTTGTGTCCATTCTTGACTTTTGCCTCCATTTGCCCTGTGTCCTCTCTGACTAGGAATGCTCTGTGTACAGAACTGCATATTTTAGAAGTTTAAGCGAACTTAATGATACTTTGAAATAAGGGGGTAGAGCAGTACCTTTTGATCAGTCTTCCACATAATTTTGCTGAAGAGACTTTAGGTGTTCATTGTTCTGTAGGTGGTAATTGTGCAATTAGTACGATAATTTGAATTCAAAAGTAACATTGATTTATTTGGCCTGTTTAATTTGCATAGGTTTTTCATGAAGTGGTACAGTTCACACCTTGATGAAGTAAATTTCAATCCCAAATATAGTAAAAGTTTGTTCTGAAGTAGCTACATGATGCCTGATTCTAGCTAGTATAGGTAGCATAACCTGTAAAAAGTTATAGTTTAGTTTGGGGTTAAGGCTGTAAGAGACTTCCTTTATTCACCCCTAAGTTGATTAGGTAAATGCTGATTTTACTTTGGCTCATTAAGATCCAGTGAGTACCCCTTTAAAACTAATTTTATATAACTTTCTCACCAAAATGGGATGGAGTAACTCCTACCGTGTCTCAAACAGTCTCAGATCTAGAATTATATATGCAATAATTGTCCATCAGAATTTAGTTTAATGATGGAAAATAGTAACGATGGCACTTAATAACTTATACCTTGTGTTAATAAATGTTCTCTTTGGTTTTAAGCTGAAGCAGCAGCTATGATTGCACAGGACGAGGAAGAATTTGAGAAAGCACACAGACTTGTGCAGGTAACTATGTCAGTGTAAACAGAATAGTTCTGTAATTTATTTGCAAGTTACAACTTCTGAAATCTCTTTGTCTGCAGGCAGAAAGAGTAGATGCATCTGAATTAGCAAATACTTCATGGAAATCTGCTAATAGCTGCATTCTGCTGAGAACATCTGATCTTGACAAAGATGCCAGTTATTTACGTTTGTCTTTGGGGGAGTTCTTTGGTCAGAGATCTGAAGCTCTTGGTTGTCTTGGTGGAGGCAGTGATGTAAAACGGGTATGTATCTTAATGTTGAGAGACAAGAGAAGGAGAAGAAAAACAACAACTAGCACTACTTTTCTTATCTTGTAACTAATTCCGAGAACTAATTTTCTAAGTTGACTTATAAAGGAAATTATCTGTGTGAGAGAGATCTGGATTGACTTTAGTTTTCCACTTGGAATTTGTGATGTGCTGGCCGATGTTACCGAGGAATGTTGATCTTCACCTTCTGGTCAGGAACTAATTATGTGTAGGGTTAGAGGGAGAAGGGCACACGTTGGAGGTTCACATAATAGCTGAATGAAATGCTGCTCAGACAGGGGTATTTGAACAGTGAGGGCATCATTGAATGGCTGTTGATAATTGATGTGCTCTCTAGGGAAATGCCCAACTTCAGTAAAAGTCATCTAGATTCGACTTGCCAACATCTGTGTGCTTCTTACATCTGTGGGATACCTGGCCTTTCTCTCATCTGCTGTTGGTAAACAGGATCCTCATCTGTGTTGCAGAATAAAAAATGGATGGGAAAGTGTGTACTATGGGAGGAAGAACACAAGTATGCTTCTGAAATTCACTTGTGTCCTGATGAACTGGTAGAGTTGGCATGTTCTGTCCTGGTGCATTCTGAGGCTCAGTGGCAGAGCGTGACTCCAGGCAGAGATGATGAGAGCATGTGTACTTTTTTTTGTGTAACTGGTGTAACTAAGTTGTGTCCTGGTTTCTGTTGTGATAGTTTTCTTTTTAGTAACTGGTACAGTGCTGTGTTTTGGATTTAGTGTGAGAACAGAGTTGATAACACACTGATGTTTTGGTTGTTGCTAAGTAGTGCTTACTGTAAATCAAGGACTTTGCAGTGTCTCATGCTCTGCGAGTGAGCAGGTGCAGAAGAAGCTGGGGGGGAGCATGGCCAGAACAGCTGACCTGAATTGGCCAAAGGGATATTCTGTACCACAGAACATGATGCTTGGTCTATAGACTGGTGGGAGTTGGCTGGCAGCCACAGGTCACTGTTCGGGGACAGGCTGGGCATTGGTGAGTGATTGTGTTGTGCACCACTTGTTTCTTTTGAGTTGCATTCTTTCCTCCCTCCTTTTCATTACAATTACTATAGTTTTAATTTATATTTTGTGTCAATTATTAAACTGTTCTTATCTCAACCCACCAGGTTTACCTGTTCTCCTCAGCTCTTTCTGGTGGTGGTGGGAGTGAGTGAATGGCTTGCATGGTATTGAGTTGCTAGCTGGGGTTCAACCATGACATTTGTTAGTTTATTTTATGTATATATATATATATATATATATATATGGGAAATGTATGTATTTGGATTAGGCATTTGCAGTATTAGGAGGCACATGTTATTTCTTACTGGTATGAGTGCCAGACACCGATTGGGCAGGCACTGTGGGCTGAAACTGCTTTGCAAGCCCACTGAACCTATTTGTTAATGATTAAATTTACTCATGCTGTATTCTGGGGTATTTTTTTTTATAGCCATCTTTTGGTTACTATATTACATCTCCAAAGAAAAGGCAACCTGTTGCTTTGCTAAGGCAGTCTGATTCATCAGGAGGTGACACCATCCAAGAGATTTCACAGTTGTCTGAGGTGCTCTCAGGTAATTATGGAACAACTCTTTTTTTCTGTAGGGCATTAATGGAGCAAGTCTATCCCAGGAATGCAAGTTTTTAGACAATTTCCTTACTGTTAATTAACTGTATGTCTTTTTTGTTACTGTTGTTCTTAGATGACCTAGAAGCACAAACAAAAGAACATGCAAATTCTACTAGCTCGGAAGATTCGGGGCATAGGATGGATACTGCAGCTGGAATACATAAAAACATTAATACAGAAGCTGCTACCAAAAGTGAAGCAAAGGTATTTGTCTTGTATTTTTCTATAAAGTGCAATTGTGAACTGAAAGAAAATTCAACTGACTCCAATTATTATTGTTTCTTTGGTTACAGCTAAATTTGGACTTGCATATCAGCTCATTGCTTTTTATATCGATCATTTGAATCCTAATGGGTGCCACTGTTTGTTAGGGTGGTTTCATTAGAATAGCATGATCCTGTAGTGAGCCAAGTGTTACTATCACCATTTTGTTTTCCTTTTTCTTCCAAATTCACTTTTGGAGTTGTTAGCCTATAGTTTTTCAGAGACTCGCAGGCTTATTAACATTCTGCCATCAGGTTTCAGAATTTCATCTGTGTCTTGCTCTTCTATTTTTTTTTAATGAAAACAACTTGTCTTTACCATAGGAATAAAGTCTTGTAGTTGATATAATTTAAGAATATCAACATGGTGCAAGTCTGAAAAAGTGTATTTTCAAATTGGTAATCCTAGATACCTACCCTAGATACCTACCTTCTCTGCCTGAATGTGTCACCTCCCTAAGTCTGTTGGCAATGCTCCTCCTAATGTAGGCCAGGATGCTGTTGACCTTCTTTGACACAAGGGCATGTTACTGGCTCATGGTCAACTTCCTGTCTACCAATACCCTCAAGTCCTTTTCTGCCAAGCTGCTTTCCAGCTGATTGGTCCACAGCCTGTATGGGTGCCTGGAGTTATTCCTCCTCAGGTGCTGGTCTTGACATTTCCCTTTGAACTTCACAGCCCATTTTTCTCTCCTGTTGAGGTCCCTCTGAATGACAACTGACTCTCCTGGTGTACTAACCACACCTCCCAGTTTTGTATGATGATGAAACTTGCTGAAGGTGCACTCTACCCCATCATCCACATCGTTACTGAACTTGTTGAACAGTACTGGCCCCTGTCTTGATCCCCAGGGTACTCTACCAGTGAGTGACTGGCCTCCTGGTGGACTTTGTGCTGTTGATCACAACCCTTTGAGCTCGTCAGCCCAGCCAGTTTTTGGTCCAGTCATGGTCTACTTATCTGCTCCATACTTTGTCCATCTTTTTATGAGAATGTTGTGAAGACATGCATGCATATCTACAGGAGGACAGCTGTTTTCAGTTCTTGCTGAATGGGTGTGTGTCTGAGAGGTGGGAAGAGACTGGTCTGGATGTGACTCTCTATGTACTCCATGCTCTTTGCTAAGCACGGCCGATGTGAAAACTAAAGAACAAATCAGACTTAAGTGACAGAGAAAACAGTAAGAATAGCTTTGTCTTCCCCCTGTGGAGAGGTGGATGATTTAAAGTTAAATGGGAGTTTACTGTATATTTGGTCATGGTACCTTCTTTGCTGTTTGTTTTCAATGGGTTTTTACTCCCAGTTCTTCCAACTGAATTAAAGCTTTTTAGGATTTAAAAAGTTTTGCATGAACTAAGACTTCCTAGCTGGCAATCTTTATTTAATCTTTAAAAAAAGCCTTTGTGGAGTAGACTTAAAAAAATCAGCAGAATAAGAATTATGCCTATTGCAGTGTTCCTTCTTGACAGGTGATTAAAAATGTGACAACTAGAAATGTTAATACATTACCATATCCCAAAATGCAAAATAATTCAAGCAAGCAAACAAAATACAGAAAACAAAACACTAAACAAAAAATTTCTTACTGTGGTGCATTTTGGTTTGTTGTAGGATGGAACTCATAAAGACAAGTTTGAGGACGGCTTATCTAATCATTCTGACTCTGTCCTGAGTATTAGCACAATTGCAGCTGCTATTGCTAATGCTTCAACCAGTGCTGAACCTTCCCAGCTAGCTGCTATGATGATGGCACTCTCTAATAAAAGTAAAAGAACACATTTGCTTCCTGGAATTGTTAAAGAGGTGGAACTGTCTGCTACTCAGGTATTATCCAGCAATGATGAAAATAGTGTATTTGATATGGAAAAATACCTCAAAAAAACAGATGAGAACGGACATGAAAGTGAATATGAGAGTATTGTGAAACATGAGGCATCTGTGCAGAACCTTATCTCTGACACCTTGTTACTGGGTAAAGATAAAAGTAAGGATGCTCTTGCAGAAGACTTGATGAGTAATCAGAGCAAACAGCAAGAAATAGAAAAACGATTGCTGAATTATCTCAATGAAGGAAGTGATAGTGAGAATTTTTCCAGTCTGTCTAGTGTTCCCAACCATGAAGATGTAACTGTGGATAGTGTTAAATATTCAGAAAAGTTGTCAGATGTAGTAAATAGTAAACATTTACAGTCAATGGGTGCTGATGTTAGATCAGATACACTCAATGGAAATGAAGCCTACACATGTGGAATTCCTTTAGCAGTAAACAGGGAAGTGGCACAGAGAAGTCCCCTTGCTTACCAGAACAGCAATCTCAGTAGTAGATTTTGTATAAGAGAAGGTGGAGAAACAGTAGATCAAACAACAAATGCTGTTCCTGAACCACGTAATGGTTTGTTGGAGGGAAGTACAGGAAATACTCTGTGTCTCAGCAACTTAAAACCTACCAAGCAATCTATTAGATACGTCTCAGTAAGTCCTACAAATGCAAAGCCTACGCAGAAATTGGACAATGATGAAAGGAAGCAAAATGCAGAAATAGAGAAGAGAAACAAGGATGCCGATACTGCTTGTGGTGGGAATGGAAAACGTGTAACTTTTCAGAAGCTCTCCCCACCTTCCCAGAATAGTACTGGTAAGTAAACCTATATAAATGTAACCAGTTATTGAAAAGGCTTTCTTTACAGTAGACATGTACTTAAATAAATACTGTTATTAAATTCTGTTTATTTGATAGACAATAAATCTATTCTACCTGAATGTGACTTACAGCATCTGGAGGATGAGCAGTATAGCTTCAGACCTTCAACTTCACCTCTGATTCACTCTTCTCCTAGTGAGACTTCTGGAACAGCGTTTTCAGGGTAAATTCTTGGTGCAGGTTATAAGAATTAATGGTTTGTGAGGATTGTTGAGGGATCAAGTTCTATTTTAGATGTTGTAGTTTTATAGACGCTCATTATTAGGCTAAGACTTCATTCATAGACTAACCTTGACATTCTATAGACCAATGAAGATGTGTATATTAAACTTATAACTATTTCACTCCGTTTGGTTTTCTGATTCGAACCATTGCTTGCTGTGAGAGAGGATAGGTAGAAATATTTATATTGCTTTTGACCACTTTGTATCTTGACTGATAGTTCTGTCTAAGGTTTAGTTTTCTTTGCAACTGAAGGAGCAACGTTTTTTAAATGAGCTTCCATAACAGTAAGTGTCATAAGCTGTAAGATTACAACTAAATTAATGTAGTCTTAAACATATAAACATGGCCAGTAGCTAATAATTATGTGCAGTCTCATAAAAAGACAAGGCAACTGATTTCTTTGACTTAACTTTTAAGTTCACTGTTTGGTATCTAATTACAGTTAGTGTTTTGTACATGTTATTAGAGTTGTGGGCTGTTGGGCATTTCTCAAAAGTTAATATGTGCAGTAGTGTGTGTTCTTTCAGGCATGTTATGTGGAGATTACGATTTCCAGTTAAAATTGTGATTTCTCATTTCTACTGACTAAGTTAAACAGAATGCTTAAGTTGACTTTTAGAATAGTCTAGCTAATGTGTAGTATTGATTTTCTTGAGGGCAGCATTAGAAATATATTCTAATACTCTCATACTTTGAATCTGTTTTTCAGGTCTGAAAAGGACTTTACTTGCCCGTCCCAGTATCAGGAATCTTCTTGCAAGGAGAATGTAGTACCTCAGTCAGTTTACTCAAGTCCAAGCATGAGCAGATTGACATATGTCTCTGCAGCCAGCAGTACCCATAAGAACACGGCAGCAGTATGTAGTCCAGAGACATACTGGGTAAGAAAAACAAAACAACCCCTCTCCCTTACCCTCAAACAGAACTTTTAAATGGTCAAAGTAATTCTAAAATAGAAAAGGGTTTCAGAACGGTTTAGGACATGCTGTGCGTAAGGAAAAGGTATTCTGCTTCTCTCCAAGTCCTGATTTTTTAGAAATTTGAATTCTGGAATAGACTGTGCTAAATGCATGCACTCTAATGAATATAAACAGAGTAAAACAATCAAAGAGCTACAAACTTTTGAAAAAGTTAGATTTGGTGTATTTTTTTCCTTTCATTTTTTCCCATAACTTCTCATTAAGTCATTCTGTTCTTGGAATGTAGTGCAGTATTCCAGTAGTATTTTGTAGGATCTGTATCTGCTTTCATCACTCCTGATACTCCCTTTCTGTTCAGCTTAAGCTGTTAGGAGAATACTTTTCCTGGTTTAATTCTTTTTCTGTAGAAATGTTTATAAATACGTAGTTTAGCTTGTACTACTTTTATTCAGGACTGAAACTATTTTTCTACCTCTGGCAGTTGTTCTGATTGTTTCTATTGCTTTGGAAAAGAGTATACTCTGAGAGTGAAATTTGTGTTCAGACTTGCAGTCTTATGCTGATTAAAATAATTGGCCATCTTTTATCTGAGTTTATGCATTCCTTGGATCTGAGATCTTTCTGTACTGTCTCCCCTCTTCCAAAGTGTGTAGAACTGTGGATGGAGCTTTAAAAAACAGACAAACAAAAACTGAAAAACCTCTGTGACTGCATGGATATCTGAGTAAATAGAAGTGACTACATTTATTTTGCAATATCTTTGTCAGTTGTGCTTTTTTCTAACACAGGAAATAGAAATACTATCTACTATACCTTCTCCTTTCGTTTGCAAAGGATGAGTCTTTTCAGGACTGATGACTAGTGAAAGCTTAGTGAAGCCTTCTCTTCCTCCTCTAGGAGCACCAGCAGCAATGTGGCTTCTTCCTGATCCTTGGAGCATGTGTGTGCTGGCCTATGGCCCATTTCGTTCTAGGTCTAGTTGCTCGAGTTACACCGGAAGTATTTATTGTTTTCCATCTTGATTTTTCCAGTGGGAATCACAGCCTAATAGAAAGGAACCCAAGGACAAATTTAAATGGGTGTTTTCTTGCAGTCCATGCTGGCATAGCGTCAGCTCATAGGTCTGTTTTTCACAGATTTGCATATGGTTCTTGATTACTGTTACCTCATGCCCATGGGTGACTCTTTGTGCTTTGACATAACTGGCTGCATACTGGTTTGTCCCTTTGTCTTGAAGAGATATTGCTGTTTAAGTAGTCTTTGTTCCCCAGGATAGCTCAGAAAGGAGATCCTCAAGAACTTTGCCAAAGATTTACATTTGTATTATGAGTACATTTGTAAGATCCATTTATAATGCCCCACGGTGTTAATTTATTCCTTTGTGTTAGGAATCTTTTATGCTGAGAGGGAGTGACTGATAGATTTTAATCATTTGTTCTTGTTGAGAGCCACTTTCATGTCCCTTGCCTGAAGCTTCTACAGACAAGAAGTTGTTTGTATTGGTGTTACTCTCAGAATACCTACTATAGCACAATCTCTTTAACCAGTGGTGCCTTTTCCCTTTAACAATAGGGTCAGGTTGTCAAAAGTGCATGTTTTTTAAATTTTTTTAAATTTTTTTATTTATTGTTTGGTTGAGTTGGCCTGGTGAGCTGTCTCACCTTGGGCAGCTGCTCTGAATGCCCTTTATAAAGGACTGTAACTTGCAGCTTACTTGTCTACAACAATCTGAGCAGCTATTTTATTGGTCTTTCCCCTTCTTTTACATGCTACTCCCTGCCTCCCAAGTCCTATTTACTTAAGATGAATAATTCTTTATACTGTAGATACTTTTAATCCCTTTGTGTAGCTCTCTTGTTCCTGTGTCAGAGTTTTCTAGGTACACCTGTCCTGAGCTGATGTCTGATTGCTTTGATACCACACTGTTTAGTTTTGGTTCTGAAACTTTTAAAAATTATTTTGAAACTCCATTTTTGAAAATGGAATCTGTGGTATAGGTGTACTTAACAAGAAAAAAATTAACCTTTGTAGCACATCTAAAGAACACTTTCATTTTCCAGATTGGTAGGGAACATACCTGGATTTGCATCCATGCTTCCATTGTGAAGACTCTTAAGTGTGATGCCAGTTGTGGAAGGGTGATTTTTCCTGTGGTTAGTCCTCCTCTACTGATTAGTGTCCATGCTATTGTTAGTAGCTACAAAGAGTGCATGAGAGGGTGTAGTCACTTTTGCTCTTGACTGTTAACCCACTAGGAGAATCCTTGAAACCCATTGTGTGTATACATATTTATGATCTGTACTTCTGTTTCTCTTGTTTTGATTTCCAAGTGAAAAAACCTCAAGACTCTGGGACTAGGAAGAACTGAGAATGGGGGTGAGGTGTGCTCATTCCAGCTATACCATGAGTACCTGACAAAATGGAAGGTCTCTGGGCTTGAATGATTTCTTTGTGTGAGCGCACAAAGAACATGTTTGTACCAGTGCAGTTTCATGCATCTTGATTCCTTTTTGATTAGTGACTTAGTTCAAGGCCATTCAGCTCTTTCTTAAAAAGCTGGCAAGTATGTCTAGTGTGTTATCAACATTGTTTTGGATACAAATCCAAAAATACAGCACTATAGGGACTGTTGTGAAGAAAGTTAGCTATCCCAGCCAGACCCAGTAGAATGTGACTTGAGATAATAGACAGGTTGAAGTTGCAGGTTTTCTTTTTCAAGGCAAAGAGCCACAGTTGTTACAAAAGTAAAACTTCTGACAAGACTTGGCAAACTTGACTATTTGTATTGAGTGGCAATACCAGTAGTGGTCAGACAGGAAAGTTTCCTTAACAGGCAATACTAATATTAAGTTCTGTCTTATGTACCCTGCTTATTTTTTGAAAATATGCAGTACACATGTTATGTTTGTTTACTAGGATGAAAATGCTAGTGAACTGAGCACAACAATAATTCGAGCCAGCCCAACTCCTCCACGGGAACATGCAAAGGAGAATCTAGAAGACCACTCATGTCAAAGAAATAGAAAAGAAGCAGTACCTAGTATTGACCAGAAACGAGAAGAAAATGAACTTGTGGGTCTTCAAAGGAAACTTGATAATTTACTGGATCAAGAACTGTCTGAAGAAGGTTTTCCAAAGAATGAAAAGCAGATTGCATCTATTCCTTCAAATGTACCAGCAAATCATAAAGAGCCAGACCATGTTAAATCAGCTTTACCAAGTAAATTATGCACCTTTCAGCCTCATTCGGTCAGTGTTGATACACAAGAAGTGTGTCAGGACCAGACAAACAAAGCACAGAGACAAGGATTACAATCTGTGAATGTATTACCTGTATATTCTGGATTAAACACTTACATGCCATGCAATCAAAACTCATCTGGTGAACAGTATGTTCCTATTTCAACATTTAAATCCCATGTCACTACCTCTGAGAGTCAAGCAATTCCTTCTTCTGTTCCCCCCTTGCTTGCAGGGCATTCTCTTGCAACAACTCCATTTGCACAGCAGCATCTGGGAAATATGCTGTCTTCTGGAAATACAGTTCTGTCTCAGTTTCACGGCTGCATCTCTGCAGGTTTTGGACTTACAGCAGGGCTTCCATGTTCCAATATCACAGCAGGACATGTTGAGAATCCACTTACTGTAGGAATTCCTTTAGGTCCAAATATTGGTCCTGGCTCTTTGGGTGCAGCTTCACTTTATAATCCACACTCTACTGCATGGAATAATAATATCTTAAATATAAAATCATGTACTGGACAACCTCTTGGAGCTGGTAGAAACGAGTGGGAGTTGTCAAAGTCACCTGGTATTGGTAAGTGTGTTTTTTACAGTGTGTTTAAAATATAACTGTAGACAAGAATGGTGATAGCAATGTTGCTTATATTACAGTAAATAAAATTAAGATGACTACTAAGTTTAACTGCAGTTATTGTTTATGCAGTCTTTGTTATTTAAAAATCCCCTATTACTAATTTTCTGTTTAATGGTGTTCTCTGAATTCTTACAGTCTCCCTAATAGTCTTAAAAGAAATTTCTTATAATATAGAAGAATTTTAGCATTCTTCATCATTGAGTAGTTTTGTGTTTATGTTAAGGGATCTAGAACTGTCTTTCATAAGAGGAAGATAAATCCTAGCTGCAGTTCAAACTAGACAAGACCCTGGAAATTCCATTGTATTTTATCAGGAAAGTAGATGACATTTCTATTTCCAGCCTAATTTGGCATTAGCAGTCTGTTAAGGCCAGAAGTCCAAGGAGGAGACTGGAGGGCTCAAACTGTTTGCTGGTTATAAAGGGGAAAGACGAGCTGCCAAGTATCTTCTGACCTTTCTGCTGTTACTCTGTATTTAGACCTAAGCAATGCAAATTACTATTTCATTTTAAAGACATCTTTTAACGTACAATCTTCTTAGTTGTTTTCTGCTATACTTTTTTTTCTGACTCATTCTTTCAGTCTAAACGACAAGCTAGTGGGGTTGAAGATTTGAATTTGTGACAGATTGTAGCTTGTTTATTGATTGTTCTAAGTCATTGATTTTGTTAGTGCATTTTAAAATAGTGAAATTTGAACTTCTTACTCATTGCCTCTATTTATACCAACAAGATGTCGAATTTTCTGAGTTGGGCTAGTACTGATTCCATTGTGACCAATGAGTAATTTATGAGTTGTGTATACATATAATTGATGGGTGTGTATAGAATGTGCTATTTCCATAAATATTTATTTCTGTGAGAGTAGAACTTTAAGATGCAAATTAGAAATGATTGAAATTTCAAATTTCAGACTTGTGGAAAACGCCCGTATGAAAACTGTTAAGAGTCAAACATTTCCTTGCCATAATGAAGCATTTGTCAGATAAGTTCATAGTGGCAGCCTGAGTGTTGTTTTGCTTCTGGGTACTTGAAACTAACAGGAGCATGTTTTCTTCTGAAGGACATGTAAAAGTACCAGAAGAACTGAAGTTCCCTAATGCCTGTTGTGTGGGAATTGCATCACAGACGGTTCTTAGCATTTATAATCCAACTGACCGGTGGTTGCAGGTCAGCATTGGAATACTCAGTGTTTCAATTAATGGAGAAAAGGTAAGAGGTTTTTTGGTTTTTTTGTTTTTTTTTTTTAAGCTGAATAATACCGTAATCTTATCAGATGTCGTAGGTAAAATTAGAGCTCTCTGTACAGATCTGTAATTTCTCCCTCGTTTTATATTTAATATGCACGAAAGCAGTGCTACCTTCTCTCAGCCAGGCCACCTGACTTACTCCAACAGGTAGGCTTTGAGAGGTAAATGCCACATAACAGCTTGTAGAATTGTACTGTGTGTAAGAAGTGTGGTAGGTTTGAGTTTACTGGTTCCCACCTTTGTGTATGCAAGAAAAGGCAGCCCTAGGAAAGAAAGCATCCGCACTGAGAACTGTTACTGCTAAAACATTTTTGGCAGTTTGCTCCTATTTTTCTTGAAATCAGGAGATCTTGAGTGATGGAGAATGAGAAACATTTGGAGCAGCTTTCAAGCTCGATGGATTGTTCTGTGGGTTGTAGGTAGCTTATAGGCCATAGATCAGCTGTCTTGCACTTTAATTTTGTTAAATTTTATCTGCTTCTGTTATCATAGTAATGGTTCCAGAAGTAAAATATCTCAAGAACGTGACAGTGAGTTAGATTAAAGGTCTATTAGTATGATTTAATGTCTTTTACTGATGAATACACTTAGTAGAGAAGAATATAAGAACAAACAAACATAGGGTACTCTGAGCTTCTGGCAGTTTGATACTTGGGAACTTTTGTGTTAGATGTTATTTCCGTTCATAATAGTTTCTGGTGGACTGCCCTTTATCTTGTTATTCTGCTGAAATTATGTAGTGTTGTCCATAGTTCACTTGTAGATTGTATGCAGTATTGCTGTTTTCTTGATTTAAATCTGGTTCTTGCTGATTTTGTTTGGCCTGTGTTACTGAGACATAGCGGACAATGATTCACTTAATATATTGCAGCTTGTAAGTTTTATAAATCCTGATCGTATCCCTCCTTAGGCATGTTTTTCCAGCAGATGTAGCACATGTCTTTCCAGGAGTGTGACTTGTGGTTTTGCTCTCCTTCTTTCAGAATGTTTCCTCTTTAAAGAACACCAAACCACACTTTTCTGAGTGTATATATTTATACACGTGCTTATGAGAGTTACAATTTTTTACATGTTTTTCTAATCACTCAGTATCATGAGGCTTTTATGCAGCTATTCCAACCTGAGATTCTGTTGTATCAAGAGGTGATTATTTTTGATGAAATTGCTTTACAGTTGTTTCCAGGAATAAATGTATGCATTTGTTTGCACGGTATAATTAAACTCCATTTTTTTCAGTCAACTCTGAGATACTTGGAGTATGCATTACAGTCTGTCTTTCCTGCTTGAAAATTATCTATAAATATGTTCAGAACAGAAATTTAAAACACGCTGGGATTGACCAGTGGCTTCCATACACTGACTTTCCCATTACTTTTCCACTATAGCTCTTCCTCCCATCTCTGATGGCAGAAAACACCAAACGGAGTTGGCTTTGTTTGTTTATTTTGCTGCTGTTCTTTCTCAAAAATCAGAGTTTCACTTATGAATTCATTTTCCCAGTGTCAGTCTTTCACTAGAAGCTGGAAAGTAATCCCAGCAATTTTCAGGCTGACTTATCTCTTTAAATTAAAAGAAAATGCCTACAGTTGAGTGGGATGGAAATGGGACATGAATATGAAAATGCATTAATTAAATGGAGGGAAAACATATACGAAATGTCTGTGCTGAGCAGTGGTGCCAGATAAATGTGGTATTTGGAACGAAATCACCCTCTGGCAAAAGGCCTGTTGAAAATGACAGGTATTTTCTTTTTCAGATGGATCCTATGAAGTATCAGTGTCTGGTTTTCAAGAACAAAATCATCGTAGGATCCTATTCTACCAACGATCTGAAAATACTTTTCTTGCCTTCTCATTCGGGGATCTTTCAGTGTATTCTCAATGTTTCATCTTGGCCGGTTGCTGCAGATGCAGAGACAATTGTTCAGTCAGAAGCTTTGGCAAGTAGAGTAGTTCTGACAGCAGTCGCTGAAAATCCTCATTTAGAAGTAAGTAGCTGCTGATTGTGGGTCTTTTGTTGTTGTTGCAATTTTATGAATAGTTTAATGACACTGGAAAATATTAGGAATGCAGGGTTGTTCCCAAAGAAACCTGGAATTTCATATGCTTTGAGTGGGAAGAGTATACAATAAAATGTTGGAGAAGCTTATTGCTGTCTGGGAAGCTCTAGTTGTGGAAAAGCACCTACTGGACAAAAAAAAGGATTCTGACTGAAAAGAATAAATTAAAATGTATTACTTTTTCATTGTTAAAACAGTGGATGAGATCTTAAATGACTAATGCTTCCTAGGTATCTGCTATGTTGGGTTGGGCATTAAATGTAGCAAAAAGCATTTGTTTCCAATTATAAGGATTTCTTTTTTTTTTTTTTTTTACATCAAGTAGACTTTATCTTGGTTTCTTATTACTTCCAGCTTGTTTATGGTTGTAGAGAATATTTTCTTATTTTGGATTAATTAAAAATTAAAGGTAAGTGGATGTATAAAATGCTTTTGTCTTGAAGAACATGAAGAACAACCAGGTAGGAGACAGTGTGACATTAAGAATTAAATCTGGCTTTGTGTAGAATGTAAGAGTATGGACAGGCAGAAATAGGCTAGATGATACTTTTGGAGGTTCCTGAACAAATTACCTGATAGTCTTTGTCATAGCTGATAAAAGTAAAATTTTCAGTCATTAGACACAGCTTACAATTCTTCTTTCCTTTTAAAGTGGTCTGTTAACTTTCTTTGGGCTAAGTATGTTTTAAAGTAATGAATGTACATGAATGCATATGGTTTTTAATGTCTCTTCCATAAATTTTAGTTTATTTTTAATGCATTTTTTTCTATGTAGTTTGTAAAAGTCCTCCATTCTCTATGTTCTTCATGGGTTCATTCAAACTTGCTTCATATTAAAATTAAACCCTGTGGTCAATCTCTGCATGTCTTGTTATATTCTTGAGATTGGAAAAAGTACCAAATAAAAGCTATATTTTGCTGCAGATCATGACACTTAAATGTTTTTAAACTAGCAAAAATTAACTTCCTTTTACTTATTTTCTTAACTTGTAACTTGCTGAAATGGCTTTTTAAGTATCTAAAACTGACATTTCTTACAATAATCATAGTTTAAACTTATTGGTTTTTTTAAATTAGCCAAAATAATTTGATTGTCTACTGGGTTTTGGTGGGTGAATATTGCACTAAGATTGGCTTAATTAATTCAAGCAAAATATATGTGAGATAGCCAATTGGCTGTAACCCCTTTTAATATCATAGGAAACATATTTCTTAGACTTCTCTTACCCCAGTAGGATGTTTGTATTGTATGTGGATATAGCATTAATGGGATGGAATAGGTGAATAACATCCTTACTTTCCTGGTGCTTTTGTATGGTAGTGTGTTTTGGAGGTTTTCCTTCCTTCTGAATTATTCTTTGTTTTAAAACCAGGTGGAACCAGGAAAAGGAGATTGTCTGGACTTTGGTGACTTAACTTATGGCAGTTGGAAGGCTCTTCCCCTAAAACTTATCAACAAAACTCATGCTTTTGTGCCAATTAGACTTATTATTAATGCAGTAAGTACAGTAAACTTCCTGTATGTGCAAGTTAACATCTTGTGATACTGAATTTTAATACTCAAACACTCACTTTATGTTATATATCATTAAGAAATATACCCTGGACACTAGATGTAAGATTCCCAAGAAATCTTTGGTTAGTCAGGAAATAAATTGGTTTTGCAGGTTAGTGATCTGAGTCTACTGTAATAGTACCCAAAACAGTGCTGCTGGGATAGGTGTGGTTTTCTTGTTTCATGTATGTTTGTTAGTTTTTGTAGCCCAGCAGTGGGCTTCTGCCTCTGACACTTGCTCTGATAGCACAGGGCAGCTGATAGCAAAAGGGTTGTGTTGCCTAAACCTTCCCTCTGAGAAGCTGAAGATATATTCCACTATTCAAATGGAACAGTTGACTGTTCAAAGAAGCAGCCAAGCTTGCTGCTAGCAAGTTTAATAGGAGCAAAAGCAGGACTCTTCGCTCTGTCAGTTTTGTGTCCCACTAGAGAATAGCCTGTATTAGAGGCTACAGGATTCTCCTCTCTGTATCTCTGTGGCAATGCAGATTTCAGGTTTTTGGTTAGGCTGGCTGCTGATTTGTGCTGTGGGAAGAGCTGGCCTTGTTTCTGTATGTGGGATAATAAGAACGGACGGGCCTTGTGTTAGGGTGGATTGGGTTATCATGGTGACTAATGATATTTGGTCTTCAACAGCCAAACTTCTTGAAAGCTTAAGCTAAGCAGATTCTGCTTGTCCCCTTTTGCTGCAGAAGGAATGCCTACTATTTTTAGAGGGTTTGCTGGACTATCATATACTAAATGAAACTACAGGCTAATTTTTGATTTTTTTTCCCCAAGCTACTTGGACAATTCAAAATTGTTTTGCATTTCTAGGCTTGGTCAGCATTGCTGTTAGTGACAATAAGAGATTTAATACTTGTAATGCTTTATTTCTTTGACAGAATGCAGTAGCTTGGCGGTGCTTCACCTTTTCCAAGGAACCTGTTAATCCTTCTGATGAACAAATGGATGCAGTTTCTCAGACAACAGCTCCATCAGTTGTAAATCATGTAATACATGCAAGCTATGATGGGCAAGTGAGTAGTTTGTGGTTGGCTGATTCTTCCTGTACTTGCTGTCTGAAATGACAGTGCTGAATATCTGAGTTCACAGTAATGATTTTTGGGGAGTCTACCTCTTTGAGCAGTATAGTTTTGTTTAGGTTTTGTGGGTGGGGTTTTTGGTTGTGAATCTTTTCCCCCTCTCTTAATAGTTCTCTCCCTCCCATTAAGATGTCAACCAAATTCTTTTTCAGGATCCTGAAGCTTTGACAGTTTGGGTTCTGTTCCATGCACCTAAGAAACAAATTTCTTGTTCAGGTATAGCAATTTGATTTTCATTTTAACTGAAACAGATTTGACTTTTAGTGTATATGTGTGTTAGAATTGCAGGAACAGGCTGTAAACTTCAGATGAAATGGTCCATCTTTGGTTTATGTGTCCTAATATTTTGGGTATCACGTTCAGTTTTAATAACTGTAGGAAACAGAATACTTCTATGTCTTAATTCTTTATATATTATCAGGGACATTTATGCTTCAGTATCAAGCTGTACAAAGTTTGTACTGCAGGATGCGTGGAATTTGGGTTACTCCTTTTGCTGAGGGAATTAAATCATCACTAAAGAAAACATTGCTTTGGTTGTAAAATAGATAAATTTGAAGAAATCTCTGAATTTTTCTGGCTTCCTGGATAGAAAATATTACATATATCAATTAGTTTGGCTAGTATGGTAGTATGGGGTTTTTTTGTTTGCGTTAGGGACAATTTCAGTCACAGCTGACAGAAAAGTAAAACTCTCAAGTAAGATCCTGTGCAACTTTAAAGAGGAAAGAAAGGTGTTGCCAGGGTAATGGGAGAGCTTCTGTTAATATCACCACAACATGAATATGTTAAGATTGAGCAGTAACTTGCTTTTGTTACTCATGAAATTGTTTCTAGATCCCTTGGGTCCAGCGGATGAGTTCCTGGCAAGAGTGGATGTGGAAGTGGACAGTCCAGGACCTACCACTGTCATTACAAGTGTTTCTCTCCGAGCAAGAGCTGGAACAGCAAGGATACATGCTCCAAAGGATTTACAGGTTTGTTTGTATTTCAAAAACCATTTGCCTCTTTCTTGCCTCCTGTTTTTGTAATGTTCATTTTTATTATGTATGTATATATACATACATACACATTTACTTTATTCTTACAGAAAATACATCTGTCTACTAGTGTGGGTTCAACAGCCAAACAGCAGCTGCCACTGAAAAATGCTGGAAACGTTAGTGTATATTTGAAAGTTAAGGTACGTTGGTTTTTCCCTCTTGAAATCATGATTTTTGTACTGTTAATCCTATTGAAACTAGAGTTGAGCCTTGGGGTTTTAGCTCAGCTCTGTGGCTTGACAAAAGGTCTATAAGTTTATGTAAAGAGAATGAAAGATAGCAAAGAGATTAGCTCATGTTATTGGAAAAAGCATATGGATGTTCTGTTGCTCAGCTTTGGTTGTATTTGTTTTAACAAAAATAACTTCATGATTTGTACTATATTTTAACAAGTATATAACAGGTATGTAAAAGCAGTGAACCCTGTGCTACACAGCAGGTGTTAACTAGGTAGTAGAATAAAGCCTGTTTGGAGCAAAGACAAATATTATCTTTGGGAAACATCTGTACTTTCTGACAAAGGTGCATCAGTTTTCAGTGTACATCTTGCCAACCCAAATACAAAGCGAGTTCTTTTCAGATATGCAATGTCTTTACTTGACTTTAATTTTTTTAGAGAATCCGTGGAAAGTATGGTCCCAGGTAACTAAAATGAAAGGGAACTAAATACTTTTGAAACTAGCATTTCAAAGTCAACAGAAGGAGCAGTTGGTCCCATTTTACATAAGAAAAAAATGAAATGGAGAGTTGTGAGCCCATCATTTTTCAGATCAGAGACCACAGAAATAGGATGTATGACTAGTATCACAAATGCCACATTACGTGATGATACTGGATGCTAATTGATAAAGTTTTGGAGGTTCCAGGTGTATTTGAATTGTCTGAACTACAACAGATGTACTACCAAACTGTACTGCATGTTGTAGAAATGTTTATTCCCTTAAAATAAGTAAATAACCCTCCCTTTTCCCCTTGCATGCTTTCAGACATCAGATCAGGACAGCTGCTTTGCTGTTGAACCCGAGGGCCTTTTCCTTTTTCCTGGAGAAGAACAAGCAGTGACTGTCCTGTTTTTTCCAAAAAACGTAATAACTACAGAAAGGTAATATAACAGATTCTATGCTGCCTGTGTTAAACTGAACTACTTTTGACATTAAGGTAGTGAACAAATTGAAAGTTTACCTGCAAGAGAAACTTTGGCTTCAGTTGTTTTCACAAGAGTCCTCATCCATTACAAAAGGATTTTTGCTAGGGTTCACCTTTTCCATAGATTATCTACCTCTTCTGCTATGTATAACTTAATGAATAGGTAATATTTCCCATCAAGAAATATTCTGAGATTTGTTTTGTATAAATAAATGTAGCAAGTCCCTGAAGCTCTTTATATGGTAGTTGTTTCTAAAGTACAACAAAGCTTCAAAATACTTCAGAAGCTCCTTCAGTCGCTTCCCTCTTCATCAGTCTGCTGAGGCAAGGGAAATGTTATTTTAATTTTACATATGGAAAAAAACTCAAGCACTGATCAATATCACAAATATTCATCAATTTTGCCTGCCATAATCAAATAAATGTTTGACTGTACATTCTGTACAGCATTGTACACGTTTCTTTTGCAGATGTACAGCATTGGTAGTTTTGCACATAGCACCTGTTAAACTTCATTCTGTGAAATAGACTTGATGGTTCAAGGCACCATTCTGATGCCTTGTAAGAGTTTTTGGCAATGGCAGGCGTCCGACTCATTTCTCCAGAGCAGCCTTTGCTCTTTTGTTATATGTTTTCCATTTTCTGCTCTAACTGAGCAAGAATGGACAAAGGAGTATCTTCAAAATATGTTAAGCTTCACTATCTAGCTTAACCAGGCCTACCCAATGCATTAAATCAAACAATGAGAAGTTATGTGCTAGTGACAGTATGATCCTGTGGCCTTATGCATAACTCCTTTGCTTTGCAGACTCAAGGTACTTGGGAGGGTTGGAAACTTTGCAGTCTACATGCAAGTGCTGCCAAAAGATTAATGAAATAACTCAGGCAATAACGAGGATCCATGTTGCCTGCTGGTGGGATGCAGGGCTCTCTGTCAGCAGGCATCATAGGAATTCACTGGCATCCGGAATGAAGGTTCTTGAGTTTTGTTCCTGGTGTGGAGCATGTCTGTGCTATAGCAAATGCTTCAGCCTATTATTTAAAAGCTTTATTTCCTTCCTTGATGCTCTTGTGTATTTCACACTTGTAAAAATTCAATGAAGTTTCTCAGGGTATTCAAAAGGTATCTCTTTAATCTACACAGAGACAACTAGACTTTGTTTCTTTCCAAAATCAGACTCAAAATAATCAGAAATTAGCTTGGACTAATTTACCTAGCTGTAGTCTCTGAAATGCTGATCTGAACCATTTTGAAATGAAATACCTTGGAAGATTGCATGAAGTACATGTGGCATGCCTATTTACAGCCCAAAGAATTTAAATTTGCTATGCCTAAAGCTGACCTTTGTCATAAAATAAAAGGAAGTATTTGTATTTTCCCCTTAAGAAGGTAGTTTAAAAAAGCCTATCTGTAATTTTTTTTTTCAGTTGTGTTGTTTTCATCAGCTAATCTTGTTCTGTTGTGGGATTTAAATTTATTTATTTATTTTTAAAGTACTTTGAAAATCCTTGTGCTGCCATCTGGGCCTCAGTATGATGTGGTGATAAAAGGTGAGGTGGAGTCTGAGAAAAATAGACCTGTGTCTACAGCTACTGGGTGCTCAGACATTCCACCCATTCTCTCCAACAAACAATTCATTGCCTGGGGAGCAGTATCACTTGGATCATCAGTGTAAGTATAAGCTGAACAGCCATTCATATAGAATATTTTTTTAAATATTTTATATTGCACTTATTTGAAGTGAAATTTCGTATTCACATTAATAATCCACAGGTGATAAACAAAGCTGGTTTATTCCTCGAGGGAAGCAGGGTACTACAATTGTTTTTCTTGTGCAAGAAATTTTTGGAAACCAACTGTGATCTTGTTTGACCTTTGTGTATTCTTGAGGACTCTTTAGCTATCATTAGAATAATATCTGATTCTGTAAATTTAGTATGTCACGTAAGTAGAAATTAGGTGAAAAATATTTCCCATCTAACTTAGTCCTTCAGATTAGTTCTTGTCTGGATTTTTTAAGTTGCAAGTTTAGAGTTTCAGTATTCTGTGATTTAATGGAACTGTTCATAATTTTCAGGACATACTTTGCTTCTTTTGTATGTAAAGGCTGCAAGTTTTACAGATCTCTGGACTTGTAATAAGTATTACTTTAGGGACTAATCCACTGTTGGTTGATACTGAACTTTTTGAGGAATCCAGTAATGTTCCTGGTTGTTTTAAAAGCAATCCATGTTTGCAACCAAGAATCATTTCTAATAGCTACATTTCTATTTGTCTGTTTTTTTATGATAGTATGTTTCTGACATAGTAGTTTGGGCTATTTGATGTTTGGGAATTACTACTTCTTTCCTATATACTGCTACCTTTTTATTTTCTGTTCCTCCTGTAAAACATTTCTGAGGAACCCTTGGTTTTAGGAAGCTGAAATTATTTTTATAATTTGGTTCCGACAGGGTACAAAACAGTGTCTGCCACTGAAAATCAAGGAGAGGCTTTACTCTCAATCTGTCCTTCTCTTTGAGAAGAGACCGTATGATCCGTTCTCTTAGGTTTTTACCAGTTTTAGCACTTGTCACATCCTTCTGTAAATGTTTTTTGACATGTTAAAATGACAAATGCACTTGCTCTTCTTGCTGGAGATGTTTCCTACCTCTGTTGAGGAAAGATCTGAGTATCAGAAATCTGGTCAATGGTAGGATGTATCAGAGAGTAAAGAAATTGCTTCTTGGTAAACCTGATTCTGTCAAGTGGCCATAACTTTCTGTGTTACAATTAAATTGAAAAGTACATGAAAAGGAAAAGTTATCCTTAATTTCCTAATTTAGTTTTTTACAGCTGTTCCAGTGAAGCTGGTCTAGGCTACTCACAAGATTGTTTCTGCATAACTAAATGGCTCTGGATACTTTAATCATAACTGTGTCCTAAAGTGGGAATTTGTAAGAAATTTTTGTATTGACACAACTGCTGCTTGTTTTAAAAGTTCAAGCTAAGTACAGAACTTGAACTTCAGAAAAGCTATGTTTTTTATATATATATATATTTGGGGATTGTTTTGCTATGTGAGTGTTCGTGCGTTATGGTGTATAATATTGTAGGGTGTGTAAGTCTGAGAATACAGAAATAACTTTCTAGCTAACATATTCTGTTTTTCCAAGAGGTGACATTTTTCCATTAAATTACTTCAAAATTTACTGTCCCATTTCTGTTGTTTCCATGAATAAATACATGCAGTTAATTTGCATTTGCTGTAAAATCTAACTAAACATCTTTTTCAGACAGAAGAAGTTAACTCTAAGAAATGACTCTCCATCTGTGACCCAGCATTTAAGACTGTTAATAAGAGGCCAGGATCAAGACTGCTTTCAGGTGGCTGTCATTAAAATTTCACTTCAGTGTTTGACAGTTATCAGGCTGTGTTTACCCTGAAGCATTAGTAGCCTATATATTTGTGCTGAGACTGCCAAGATGAACATAGTAGCAGAGTTTAAGCTACACTGGCAATCTCGGGAACTGCAGAGTGCTGCTGCAAACTGGAGCTCAACTTACAACTCTTTAAGCTGTTGTGTCACAGCAGAGTCAATACTTGGTGGAGTGAACCATCAGTGGCCCCTCCTGTAGGAGGGAGTCCAGGCAAAGACAGAGAAACTGGAATGAGCCTTTGGGAATTACTGTATCTAAAGGTTTTTTTTGTTTTGTAGTTCACATGTGTTTCTATCCCAATTTTCCCTCAAATGTTCAGATTTTTTTGGATCTAAAATCTTAAACTGAAAGAGAATACGCGTAGTGCTGGTAAGGTTCAGCACTACCATACTGGGGATTGAAGACAAAAAACTGCCTAAACTGAGAGGCATTGACATGCTCATTGTGGGAATATGGAGTATCTTGGACTTTGTTGTCTTTTTCATTGCATCTTTAAATATATGCCATTAACTGAGTTAATCTGTATTTTGAAGAAGTTAATTTTGAGTTACTAGTGTAGTAAGTTTTGCTGCTATGTGTTTTTCTTGTTCTAGTCACTTCTAATGTCTTCATTTTTATAGCTGCAAAGTATATTTGGGTCAGAAGAACGCTTCACTAGTCATTGGGAACTCAAAATCCGTCCCAAAGAAGATACTAACATATACTTGATGTTTACACCTACTCGAGTAACTTGCTGCTTTGCAAAGCTGGAAATCAAACAGCTGGGCATTCGATCACAGCCAGGAATTAAGTTTACTGTAAGAGTCCCAACCTAACTTCTAATAATTTTAAATGTACATTTTTCATAATTAAAATCTAGCACTTAATAGCTGTTTCTGTCAAACCCCTGAAACTTCAAGATACACACTATGGGTATCTGTACATTTGTTAAACATTATACGGGCACTAAATTTCACAGTTGGAACATTAGCATCAACTTTGCATGCATTTTTTTTCCCTTGTGAAGGAAGAAGAAATGTTTTATGTACTATATTAAAAATAACCTAAGATTTTAACTCAAAGTAGCAAAAAATCTGAACTTGTCTTGTTCTATAAATAGACCTTAAATGAACTTAAAGTAGAACTTGAAAAAGATGGAATAGAGATGTAGGCCTTTCTAGTTCATGCAAAGTCTTTTCAGTTCACATTTTAAACACTGTCATTTGTTTTTCTGTAACTTTATGTAGTTTTCCATAGTTGTACGAAAGTTTTACAAATTTTTTTTTTGTGGTGGTTTTTTTTTTTTGTTTTCTCTCCCAGATACCACTGTCTGGATATGGAGGAACAAGCAATATAATTTTAGAAAATGTTAAGAAGTTGTCACATAGTTACATGGTTACACTGGATGGATTACTGTCGGCAAGATTGCGGAAAGCTTCCTTCCATGTAAGAAACACGGGTTCTCGGGCTGCCTATGTTAGAGCACTGTGCTTGGCAAATGTACAGACCAAAACAGTGATGGATCCTCAAGTAGTGATTGTATCTCCAGACAAGTTTGTACTAAGAGAAGGAACACATGAAGTAAGTACAGTACTTGATTCTGACGATATTGTATTAATTAAAATGAAAATAAGTATAATCAATGAAAATATCTGACTAGTTCTGTATTAAAATCTCACCTAACTTTTATTAAGTCCTGTTTCACTTGTATTGCAGTAATTTGTTGACTCATATTCCAAACATTCATACTAACAATAAGATTTTCTTTTCCTGAGTGTGTTGTCTATTTATTTTATCAGGTGGTTACTGTAACATGGAATCCAAAGGAAACATTCCATACAACAAACATGCTGGTATCAACAGTATTTTTTTTTTGTGGAGATGAAGTTTCTAGGCAGCAGTATCGCAGGTAAGATGTGCTTTGCTATTGTGACAGATGTTTAATAAGAAGTTAGAACTAGAGGTGTGTGCTGCCACAAGTATGGTCTTAACATGCTTCCCAAAATAGCAAGAACAAACTGAAAGACAGTGATGATATGGAAAGATCTATTAGGTGTTACATCTGTAAGTTGTTGATGAGGGGTTTGGTTTATTCATTTGTCTTTGCTTACATACTGTAGCTACAATCCTAGTTAAGAGTTTTATTCTTTTACCATTCTTGAATTCAAGTGTCTTGGGTTTTGGGGGTATGTTTTCTTTTTTGTATCAAAAGAGATTTGCGTGGTGTCTCTTAGCAATACGTATGTAACTTTAGTTTTGAAAGAAAAGGCTCATAAAAGGAATAGTACTGAATTAAGTTTTGAACAAGGTTTGCATCTTGGTTTGCTGAATTCTGTTGACAAAGATAGTATTTGAGTAGATGTGTATTTGAGGGAAATAACATCCACATGTGCTCGTAATACGCTAAGGGAACTTGTAGCAAATATTTTGCTGATCTTAAAAAGAGGCTGTGTTACTCTGAATTTCATTTTGTATGACTCAAACACACAAAAAGGGCAAACTCTACTTGTAATGACTTAAGTGGCACTTTTTGACTCGTGCTGTTTGGAGTGTAATGCAGAATGATAGGACTACATAGAGCACTAAGGTGCTGATAATCATAATTTAGTGCAAAACTTCAGAACAGCATTATTTCATGATGGCTTTTAAATATGATTGCCTGACAATGTGTGAAAGTCATTGTATATATTGTTATCAAAATGAGGTATTAAACATAGCTGAACTTACCTGCATGACTTTAAATAAAAAGCTCATGGCATAGCTGCATTTCTGACCTTAATAGGAAACTGGTTTATTTCAGATATCTTAGAATATGCTTGTTCCTGATTTTTGTATAAACTCTTTTGTGTAAGGCAATTCTCACTATCCTGGACTCTTTTGTATGAGGCAGTGTTCACTATCATGGAATTCTCCAAAGGCAAAAGTATTTAGGGAAAAGTTTTGATCTATAGATCAACAGAAAACCCATTCAGAAGCCCAATGCAACTACATAGGTAGTCTTGGAAACCTTTTCTGTTTAGATTCTGGATGTTGGTATGTGAGCGAAATGATTTGTTGTTGATTTTATTAGTCAGCAGGCATGGCATTTTGTTCTTGAAAATAGTGGTCTAGCTGGTTGTTTATTGGTGGGAGGTTCTCTGAAATCTGCCTAATTATTTAAAAGAGATGTGTATTTCTTGTGACGACTGAGTGCTCTAAGGCAGTTAAACCCCATTCTGTAGTTGTGCTCTAGAATAAGAACATGATTTGGGACTTAGGGACAGGAATGTGAAATGAGTACTCTGCCTATTGTGCCAACTTGTGCCTCAAGTTTTTCATTCCAGTATTATATATAGTCAGCAGCCTGGTAAGTAGCTTAGAACTGAGAGTTAGTAGTGGTGAGATATTCTTTCCCCTTCCATGGCTCTGACCCTATCTGAGTGCCAGGTTTCCTCTTGCTGACCTGCAGCTTCCCGTTTTTCCCAGGACTATTTATATCCTTGTGCCTCCCAGTCTTTTCTATCCTGTTGGCAGTCATGCTCCTTGGCTCTGTGTTCCTGCTGTTGGCTGGCACCTGCTGCCACTCTGACATTGACTAGTGAATTTTTCCTCTTAAATGGCTTTCACTTGTAACCAAAATAGCATTCTCTGCTTCCTGTGGTGATTGAAACATCACTCAAATGCCTGATGTACTTATCAGAAATCTAGGTAGGTATGACTGACAGCAGAGAACAAGTATCATGGAAAGACAAACACATGGTAACCATTATTTCAGTGTTTTCCTTTACTCTGCAGCAATAGAGTAGGTATTTCTTTAACCATTTTAAGATTGTGAAAGGACTTCAGTTTCAAACGAATGCTCACAGATTTGAGTTTGGTGTAGTCAAGAAATGATTGAGTGAAAGTTATGCGAGATTCTTACCAATCTTATCAAACTTTTCAACCTGTTGTTTCTAGTACTTTTTGAAATTTAATGACTTCTATTTCTTTCTGTCTTTAACAGAGCTGTGAGGTATAAACCTGAGATAGAAAAACACATAATTCCAGAAAACAGCTTATTAAGAAACATTGTATTTGATGAAGAATTTAAAGGGGAGCAGCTTGTGACAGAAGGTAAGCCTATAACTTCTTAAAAGAAAAGTCTAATATTTGGTTTTGGGTGGGAAATGAGCTTTTGCCTTGAGTCCTAGTTACTTCTTTGCTATTTTTCTTTATAAACGTGGAAATAAAATTCTGAATTTGGACAGATATATTGGGCAGAGTTTTGTCATGTTTTCTCTCCCCTGTCCAGATGAAGTTTTAAGCCAGTGTTAGAGTCTAGGCATCCTTGTTTATCTCTTATTGCCTTACTGTGAGAGTTTTGCTAATGGTAGCTTAATTTTTTTGTCCTTTCTGTAGAAAACAAGGCCCTCTTCTTGAATCTTAGTGGAGTTTTTGTCTCTTTTTGAGGGCATACTTTCCTGACTTTGTGAAATACAGCTCTCTTATGTATTCTTTCTTTACTCAGTCGATTGATTTGAGGTGAAGGCCATTGTTATAAAAAAAGCCAGGAAACAGACTCATACAGCACTGCAAATATGCCTTCAAGGAGAGGTGCTGGAAGAGTAGCTCTTAGTAAACTGGATTATTTTTACTCATTTTAACAATAATACAAATTTCAAGCCCTTCCTTATCTTCTTGTTACTCAGTGGTGTCCGGTGTGAATAGTACAATCTTATTTTACACGGGTTATTTTTCACTGACTTTTCAGTGGGAATATCTACAGAATTGATTTTTGTTCCGTATTCTTATAAGTCTAATATTTCACAGGAACTAATAGTAGTACCTGGAGTTAAGAAGTAGGATTTTTTTCTCTTCTGTAAGGTGATATCCTTTAGTTGAAAAGTAAGTTATTTTTTTCAAATCTAAATGCTTCTTTTTCTTTTTGCCCCTTTTAAACGAAAGATTGTTAAAGAGATGATGCTAATAAAAGCTCGAACAATAGGATACCTTGGCTCTAAGGGTTGCATTAATGTGAGGTTGGATCCCTAGTTTTGGTAGTGCCTTTTCTCTTTCAAATACCACAGAGGTATTTGAAAAAAAAAAAAATTAAGAAATTGCACACTACTGTTAGTGTTTGAAATAGTGTGGTGTCAGATTTTCACTAGTCTACTTGCTTGATCCATCAGTGTGGTGTGGTCTAGGGCCAGCAGCTGGAGGATCCTTATTGTACCTGTATGTTCCCAGTCCTGAGTCTTCATCCTGACCAGCAGAGAGGGAAGCAGGATGAGGCCGTTGGTGCTGTTTATGTTTGCTGAGTGCCTCTGTCTGTGTTGGTCTCTGTTGACTGGCTCTGGCTCTTGAGTTGCTTACTGGGAACGTGTGCTCAGCTTTGCTACTGATTGGACCTGTGGGCACGTCTGTGAGGCTGCCAGACTCAGTTACTCCCTAACACTGATGTGGTTTGCTGCACTAATCAAACATCCTTTGCATTCCGATCTAATATGTTTCTAGTTATTAAAGTATGCTTCAATGACTAACTGAACAGAGGCAGTGGTTGTTGCTATTTAACATCTCACAACTTTTTATTCTAAAGCAGAACTTTTTATTCTAAACCTGAAACGTTTCGTGACTTCAGTAGTTAGGTTGTCAAAATGAATTTAGTTTCCAAAGTGTGTTAACATCTTGTCTGCATATGGACATATCGTTAAAGAGGAGGGAAAGAATTCTTATCAAGTAGTATTTGCAAGATCCTCTTGCCTATTTCTAGGTATCATATGATGTACTTTGCTATATTTTATAGTGCTTAAGCTTTTGTATAGAATCGTTTTTGTGTGTTGTGATTGTGAGGGTGGCACCATCATGCTGTTTGTGTGCTGTGATTTGGGTCTGACACTTTGGGTCTGGAATTGTGTGCAGTGTGACCTTGGCATTTTAGCTTAATGATACCATGAACTAGCCATTTTGATATTTTAAGTTGATGAAAATGAGATAGGCTCTAAATATTTTAATGGGTTATTTGAAATTTGAGATTTCTTGAACTCAATGGAATTCCATTGGAGGGTGGGAAAGGGAATAAAAGACACTTTAGAGTAGAAATAATGGTCATCCTAAAGAAAGAATATACTTTCAGTCTGAATTTTCATATATATGACAGAATAAATAAATTATTTCTTCCAAAAAACACATTCTGCTAGACACCGTTTTGCAAGACAGCTTTGTTAACATTTAAATTCTAACTAAAAGCACTAGTCTACAAGAGATGTTGATCTGTCTTATCTGTAACTCAGTTGTAGTAGCTATATACAATATTAATTGTCCCTTGTATCTACTAAGTAGCAAAGGAAATACCAGTTGAGACACATCTATCCTTTGAGAAATGGTCACTTCATCATTCTACTTGTTCAGCATTAAATGACTCAAAACAAAGGAGAAAACTTGACTATTAAACATTTTAATGAAACTTTTGGTTATTTTTACATCATGCTCTTATGTTCCTGACCTTTTGGTGTTAGATTGAATAGACTGAATAATTCTCTAAAGCTGAATCTCTTTCTGTGAAGCCTTAGGAATGTATTGGTCTTATTGTGAGGGTAAAAGATAAAACCTAACTTTAATAATTAGTATATACCATTTGTATACAGGTGGAAAAGATCTATCTTATAATAAAAAAGTTAAAATTGGCACGTATTTGGATTTAAGTATTAAATTTGATGTTAATATTGAATTATGCCTGATAACTGATCTTGCAGGAAGTAATTTTTGAATGATCTAGGATATCTTAGCTGACAGATTATTAACTAGGTCTTTGTCCTAAATCTCTGTTGTGTAATTTCTGGGTATTATAGATTTGTTCTTATTAGATTTGCTCTATTACTCTCATTTTTAGTATGTGGTATCCCACGGGAGACAAATGATATCTGTCTTTTCTATGCAAATATGCAAAAGGTTATCCTTTCTGTGGTTGGATATTCCACTTATGATCAGCACTCTCCTGGATGTCATTTGGAATTGGACAGGTAACTACAGTTAGTAACTATATGTATGTAACTTCTTCTGGCAAGAGTGGTTTAAACACTGGATCTGGTTGGATCTGGTTGCCCAGAAAGGCTGAAAAGTTTTCATCTGTGAAGTAATTAAAAAGCTGACTGATCAATGTTCTGCTGTAGCTGACTCTCCTTTGGGCAGTGATGTCGGGATTAGGTGATCTCCAGAGGTTCCTCCTGACCTCCAGCATGTGTTGCACAGCACTCTGTGAAACACAACTTGCATTGACTTATTCCCTGTGGTACTTGTTTCCTCTATACCTGTTCTATTCAAATTATTTTATATTATTATCTCCTGAAGATAACTGTTTATTTTAATACCTTCCATTCTAAATGGGACCTTCCACTTCCAAATGTTCTGTGAAAAAGCTGTGTCATTATATAACTGCTGAATTATTTTTTACTTAATAATGGAGAATTGAATTACATTGAAGACCCGTGTAAAGAACATTGTCCTTTATAAATAATAAAAATTTTAAGAAATACTAAGAGTAGGCTATTATAATGACTCATAAGTTATTTTTATTACCGTTTTTAATACAATCTTATTTTCAGGTTTGAGAACGTTGTCAGACATACCAATGCAACTCTGGATGTTCTTCCTGTTAAGGGACCTCAGGGTCCTTCAGTATCTGTAAAAACTAATGATCTGGTTCGGAATAAATCAGACACTCAACAGACTTGGGCTGTTAAACCTGACTGTTTGACTTTGACGTGTCCTTCTATTGGTAAGTATTTTTTAAAGAATAGAATTGCCACTGTGGTATTCAGATAACTGTACTGCATACTGTGTTTGGAAACGTGACTTGGCCAGTAATCTTCTGCAGTGGTTCATATCTAAACAGTAAACTTGGTTTGAACACAATTTTGATTCAATTGTCAGAGGTTGTGTGCTCTGTGTGTGTATAGGTATAGTATGCACTGCGTACCTATGAAGATTTTAAAGCATTGTGAAGGTAAAATTAGGGCAGAAAATATTTTAATTGGTGCATCTCTCTATATTAACATTTTTCTGAATTTTTGTACTACTTTTTTTTTTTTTTTTTTTTGTATTACAGGTGGAACAGCGGATACTAGACATGTGCAAGTTGTCAACAATTCCAACAGAACGTTGACATTTGAGCTTTCCTGGCCAGCTCACTGCCTTACTATAACCCCACAACATGGAGTTGTTGAACCAGAGTAAGTTTCTTTCTATAAGTTCCTTTACGTGTGAAAGTGTGAGGAGGTTTTGGAGGAATTTATTTTTAGTTAGCTTAGGAATGTAGTTAATTTAGGAATTTTAGTTATTTTTTAGGAATTTACTTTAGTTTGCTTAGACTATGCCTTGAAACTAACTATTTTAGTGCAAGGTTAATCTTTTTATGAACTAACACACAAATCTAGCTTTTATATTTTAGGACCTTACCCTTTTATGGTTCTGTATATAGAGAGTGTTCTTCTGTCTCCCACCTGGATACCAGGAATTTTCTATGCCTGAAAGTGCTATTATTATTATTATTATTGCATAACTTTTCAGGAACTGGGTGTTCATTGAAGCTGCAGATTTTAAGATCTCCTTTTGCAATAGTTTTTTGTTTAAAAGTTGCCTGGGTGTTTAAAAACAAGAAAGACTTCCTCCCTTCCCACAACAAACAGCCCCCAAAATAGCAGTTCTTATAAAATGCTGATATTCCTCAGAACTTGACTGTGGGATATATTTTTTTTTTTATTATTTTGACAAAACTGGGTTTTACCATTCAACCTTTGGCTTCTCAATGAAATAATGAAAGGTATGAAAATAATGACAAGCCAGTGTCTGCTTGCCCATGTCTTAATTAGCAGTATTTTGGCACAGTAGTCATAGTATCAGTGCATATGTGTATGAGACTTTTCACAGATGCCAGCAAAGACTTTCACAATTAACACTTGAAAGTTCTGCCCACCTCTCCCTTCTAAATTTATGGTGATTTTTAAGGTCAGTTCAGGAAAAGTTTTAAGACCCTGTTATTAGACTCGTCTTCCAAAAAAAAAAAGTCTCCCACAGTAACAATAGGTATTACTTTCAGAGTTGTATTTAAGTAGTTGCTTTAAATTTGAAGACATTTGCCCAAACATACTTCTCTTCAGTCCTGCGTCACTGATAATATTTAAACACTTAATTTCATATTCAGATAGATGTAAATTGCTGGGAAACTTTCGTCATTAGTGAGGAAAAACATAAATAGGGCTCCGTGGAAGGGCTAGGATATCTACCTCATTTCAGATTCAATCAGTGCCAAGAACAAACAGTCTTAAAGATGTAACAATGAACAACTACCCAATAGCTGTGAAAGTAAGGATGTTTTGAGTGTCTCATACCCTACATTCAGGACTGTCTGTGGAATGATTTCTTAAAAAGAGGGTATTAAGGGCCTTCTGCAAGCAGTCTTCTTGCAATGCAGAATTTTAAAATGTGTTCTCTTCACTGGAAAAGAGTGGGCTGAATTCTCACATGTTGGGTCCAATAACTACTTTGGATCAAGAACAGAGGTCCACAAGTAGGAAACAGATCCGTGGGAACAGCTGACTTAAGCACAGCAAGCTGCATTTGCCCAGTTTTCTGTTTTTCATGACCATCTCCCTGCAGTGCCAAGAGCAGTCAGCCAGCCAGGATCTTTTTATACTATGCACTGCAATGACTGGAGCCGACGGAATTCTTGAACTGAGTTAGGCCATGAAAGGAGAAGGTCTGATTTCTTAGTGAAGGTGAAAGAAGGTCCTAGGGATCAAGGACTGACTCTGTTATGCTAGAGCAAACAGATCACACTCTGTTTCACCTTGACTAAACCCCTTAAGTTCTGTGGAATGAGCTAAAGGAAATCTCTAATCTGCCTGAATGTGGAATATCAAAAACCTGGGTCCCTTCTGAATTTGGTACCATTCCAGGAGATTTCCTGTGGAAATGAGCTGAAGCTAACCTCTGATAATGTTGTTGTGCCTCAGTGTTGAGAGTATTGGTAACTGCTGGGAAAGGAATTGCACTTTTGGAGTGGGAACTGTTGGAATCTCCAAAGGCTGCATGAGCCACCTTTGGAAAATGTTTCTTCCCTAGGCTCCTTTCCATAGCAATAGAAGTTCTCAGAGGTTATGTCTTTAGGTTGACTAGGACTCTTCTGAGAGACATGTGGTTTGTGACCCCATGCAAGCTGGATTTCTGTGAGAAGTTTCAGTAAATGTCCAAGACAAGCTGGTTAGCAGCAAAGGCAGGGGAATGGTTTCTGGTAACAGGTACTGTGTGTACTTAAGAAAGCGTATTCTTATGAACATGGTTGTACATGAGAGAGAACCATAAATGTGACTGAAAAGATTCTGAAGACTGCTAACATTCAAAAAGAGTCTCAAAATTCTTTGAGGAAATACCAGTATCCAGATTTGATATTTAAGACTGTTAACATCTGTTAGTTGAAGTTTGTAGAGATGGTCATATTGTGACGGTGATTATGGAACTCATCTTGTTCCTACGCTAAATTTTTCAAATGTGAAGTGCTATGCTAATGGCGTATTAAGCTAATTCTTCAGGTGTAGCTTGAGTGTTTTTGTGCACATACAACTAATGACCTTTACTTCAATTATTTTGTACTTATTTTTCAAATACTTCATTACTTAACTATCTCCCCTTTATTTAAATGAATCTAGTACAGAGTATGGAACACTGTATACCAAAATTTGTTCTCACTGGTTCAGTGACTGCCTGACTTCATTACTACTGCTACTTCATTTTTGTCTCTTCTGTGTCTTCTACTCTAGATAACTACAGAAAGCATCGATAACATTGAAAGGCTTTTTTTTCCAGGATCAGTTCTGTAAGGGAGGAAGGAAAGCAATCTGCTTCTCTAAAACTAGAATTAGTTTAAAAAATTTTTGAAATGCAATTTGTGCAGTATACTTTGAACACCAACATTCCCTTGTTGACTAGTATTGAAGCTTTTTTTTCCTGAAGCATATAGTTACATATCTACTTTATGTGGCCTGTCTGGTTGTATATGTTTAACAATAGATAAGATTTATTTTTTTCCCCTTTGCCCCTTTAGAACCATCAATGACAGGTTTATTAAATGTGTTAGCATTAAGTTTTTGGCTACTAAAGCTTAATAATATATTGGATATCTGAATACCTTAAATTTAACTACCTCTAGAGCATCTTCACTTATTTGCTATCCTAGAAGTGCATCCTTTTTGGATGGGTAGTGAGATCTGTTGTAGATACTCATTCTTATATGAGGAACATGAGGATCATGCTACCTGGCTTTGGTTTTTTTTCTTCATTAGGAGCAGTGCACTAATTCTGGTGAGTCCTAATCCTGCACTTGCCACAAAGCCTTCATTAGTTCCTTGGAGTGGCCTAGTCTATATCCATAGTGGTAATGGACTAAAGGTACGTGGTTTACTTGAGACTTGACATTGTAACTGTTTATTTTACTTTGCCAGATAAGGTCTAATAATGTTGCTAAAACCTTTTGGGTATGAGTCAACTTCCATTATTCATTCCAATTTGTAAAGTTCTCTTTAAAAAAAAAAAAAGAATAGAAGTAGAGATGCTGTTTTGCAAAATGAGATTCTTAGTTCATTCATCTCTGAAGAAAAACTTTGTGAATGCTTCAGCTGAATTGCCAACAAAATTGCATCTGTACACCCACCACTGCCTTAGGCATCATTTTCTAAAACGCTAAGTGTAAGTATGTACACATGCACATAAAAGTAGTCTATGTTGTGTTTTAAAATAAAAGAAGCTAAAAGAGGTTATTGGACAAGTCACCGTACCTTCTTTGGACCTTCCATAAGGTAAACTTAACCTTCTGGACAACAAGTCTGTGATAAAGAATGTCTAGAACAGGTTCTTGCTCTTCATGGATTTTAATCCAAGAGTTTTCCCTGATTGAATTAAGGCATGTAAATAAAATTTAAGAAAACCAACAGTTTCTTCTTTCATCAGTATGAAAGCAGAAGGACTCCTTGGTTATCTCTCCCAATGAAAGAGACCTCTTTTTTTTATTTTTACAGCCCATGTGTATTTTGGTTTAATTGTAACAATGCATAGAGAGAGAAATAAGACACTGGAAGGATAAAACACTGTGCCTGCTTTCCTTCTTCATGAAGGGAAGTGAGCAGTTGGAAGCTACCTTAAAAAACCCCAAACAAACGGGGAAGTTGTTGAGAATGAAATGATGATTACGCACATATTTAACTATGTTGTGCTCTACAATATGAGAAAAGGATTGAAGAAATCTAATAGAACAAGTGTAGAGAATGTAGCAAAACCAATCAAATTATAAGAGATCTGGTAGTTGATAATGCTTTTGCCATTTATTTGCTACCTATCCGAATCAGCAAAAAGTATGCTAAGGTTTTACTAGCATTAACTGAAACCTTTTAAAGTGCTTATTATATAGAAGAAATGAATACAAAGCTCATTCTGAAGGAGGCAGACCTGTTTCCATTCTCTGCAAGCAGAGAATGTTGTAGGAGTTGTCAGTTAAACTAGTTAAAATTATTATTCCTGTTAAATTAAAATGTGTAGATAGCAATTTTTCAGTAAGTGTTCCTTTTCTCTTGAGTTAAACTTGTCTTAGAATCTTTAAGCTTTTGAGGCTGGAGAAGACCTGATTTAACATATGAGACCTTTCTCCTCTTGGAATGTAAAGCTGAGCATGAGCTCTTATAGCTCAGGGAAATAGAGCTAAATGTTTTCACTTGTTAATATATCAATATTCACTGTTTAAAACTTTGTTTTTCTCCAAATTGTGCAAAAGTTTGTTAAAGTGCATATTCAAGAGGCAGCCACACACAGAGTGTCTGGAACAGACTTTCCATGTAGAAGATGTGATATATTTACTCCACAGTCAGAAAATCCTACTGTTCATGTGGAAAAGCCTCTCTCCAGGCTCCCTCTAACAAAAATGGAGATAAAGAACAGAAACATTGTTTTTCCTAAAACAAGACCTGGCCAAAGCTCAGGTAATAGCGCTTATTTATTAAATACAACATCTGTAATATCATGTGTTTGGAGATTTTGTTTACTGTACTACATGTTTGGAAACTTGAGTACCTTGACTTTGATTTTGTTCTTTTAGTCTGATAAGTGTGAATGTCTAGTTCCCCCCTTCTGTCTTTAGTTTGAAATGTTGGGTTTTTTCGTGTGTGGGGTTTTTTTGTTTGTTTTGGTTTTTGTTTGTTTGGGTTTTTTTGTTGTGGTTTTTTTGTTGTTTTTGTTTTTTTCTTATTTGTTTTTTCTCCTTATACAGTATAGTCACACCTTTTTCCCCACAGAAAAATTTGCATACAGCAGGTAAGTTGCCAGTTTTTTAAGTGATGAGTGCAGCTCTACTGTGTCTGAGCAAAGAGAGCGTTTTAAGGTTACTGCATCTAGTTGAAGCTCTTTTGGCTCAATGCACTTTTGGAGTAGATCCATTCTCATCTATGTTTATGTCCCTAAGATGTAAGATAAATCTGTCTGTGTTTAGCAGAGAAATAAATGTTCTTCCTTAAAACAGGGGGAATATCAGCTATGAGACTGTTTGTCCTTGTCTTCGTACATAATGATTGAGGAGGACACTGTTGATAATGGAGTCTGAAATGCTCATTATTCCAGTAATAACTAAAATTCTCGAAGTAACTCTATGAAACTGTCGTTCTGTTATCTAGATACCAGATTTTTTTGTAGCACTTACTTTTCTAGGTAAGGAGGGATTTCTTAATGACTCATTGACATTACATTTTATCCAACAGACTTAAGATCTTTCAAAGCTTAATTTATCAATTATATCTGGAGGTTTTTTGCTAAAATTATGGAATAAGGTTGTAATATAATACTTCTTTCCTTTTTTAATAAATGTCCTATATATTGTATATATGCAGCTAAACTTCTGAAAGTGCTGCTCTAGACTGAGATGATCTTGTCCTGTTAATTCTTGCTGAGTAACAAATCCATACTAGGATGAGAATGGATTTTTTTTTGGTGCAATTTTATTTCGTCCCAAACTGGAATACTCTGAGGTTTTTGTTTCTGAATGGTCAAATAATATCTTGGGGGGGTGTGTGGAGTTGGGTATCTTTTAGCTGTTTGTGGTGTGTGGTGTGATGGTTTTGGTTTCTTTTTGTATACTGGTGTGTGAAGGTATCTGCCAAAAACCTGAATGCAATCAAGTGAGACTGTTGGAGGTGACTTAGATCTCACTGCTATTTGTCATGTTCTGGGTTTATAAGAGCCTAACTTCTAACTATCAGCAACACAATCACATACCATTCTTTGATATGCTTCAGGTTCTTTTAGAGGATTATGTATTATTGTTGGAGGGTTATCGAGGGTGAGATTGAGGCTTCACCGTGTTTATTGTAAGTGTCATCAATAAGATTCTTCCCTAGAAAACTTCCAAATTTCTTCTGTATAAGCTTTCAGGAATTTTATGACAGCATGCTTTGTTTGAGTCTGCTCTTGGGGTTGTTACCATGAAAACTGTTTCCATTAAACTTGTTTGTCTAGAAACACAGTTTCTGCTTAGACTCTTTCTCCTAGAGATACTTGAACAAAGAGATTTAGTATACTAATCTGTTATTTCTCTTCCAGAGAGCTACCTGGAAATGGAGAATAAAGGGGATGAAAATGTGAAGTGGAATTTGTCATCTTTTGCACCACCTTATGTTAAAGTGAGTGAATGCTTGCATTGAGAGTTTTATGCAAATCTCTGGGGTTTTTTTAACTCCTCTCTTCTTGCTTCCTCTCAAGAAAGAGTATATATTTGAGCATGACCTCAGTTACAAAATTTTTTTCTCTCGGCAAAATATTTTACTCCTTTTTCATCTCTAATGTGGTTCCTTGACTGTGAATCAGTCAGTGGTCTGTGAGACAGTTCCTGGTTCATTTACTGGCTTACAGAGTTTGCTTGTGCTCATACAGTATCACCATCCAGATTGCGTTAAGTAAGCAAGCACACGTGAAAGACAGGTGTCTCTTTTTGGATCCAGAATGCTAGACTTGCCTTGTTTTGAGACTTGTGCTGCTGAAAGTGTGCTGTATGTTGTATCTCTGCAGGTAATTTGAGTTACATCAAGGATATTTTAATTACAGTGCTGTTGCCTGTGCAATTACTGTAGCTGTACTATTGATATTTGTAAAAGCTTCCCTACTTTTTTGGTAGTCTGAAATGCTGTGATGATAATTTTGATTTTATGCTAGAATTGTTGTGGTCCATTCTCATGAAATGATGAAAAATGGTTACATAGCACTCTTAGCATTACCCCATAAGATGGGGTATGTCATGTTCCAGGCACTGGACCACCTCTGAACTGCGTCAGTAGTCATGGTGACTGCACAGATGTAGTAGTTTCAGTCTTTATTAATTTGCTTTTAGGGAGTCAATATTACTTGTTCACTTGCAAGCAGCTTGATTGGGTGTATTTTCCTCAGCCCTTTGCAAGGGTGTGTGTGGGTGTATTGTGTTTTTTTTGTTTGTTTTTTTTTTTTTTTTTTTTTGGTTTTTTTTTTTTTTTCCTTTCTGAATCTGACTCATACCTTTATTTGCAGGATGTGGATGGAAGTGGTAGTGTTTTTAGGGTTACTTACTCTGCTTTCAACTGTTCCCGTGTTTCTGGTACTCTTGAAGCTCATGGACAAGAGAAGGTAAACTGACATGTATAAATATTTAGGCATAGTAGTGTATCTCAATTGTAAAATAGGATCTTAAATGAGAAATTTTATCTGATAATGATTAAATGTTGCACTTTCAGTATTGGGTTCTGGAGTCTGTATCAAGTAGTCAGTATCTGCTTATCTCAGCTGTTATAATGTCAGCTGAATTGATTCTAAGAATTCATGCAATCAAAGTAGTTTGATTTCAGCTTGGTGGTGTGTTTGTGTTACTGTTGGGGGTTTTTTAAGGCCAAATTATTTTAGAACAGAAAATTGTTTGAAATGTTTTGTAAAAGTCCAGCAGAAAATCTCAAATAATGCTGGGTTCTTATGAAACTGACGTGAGAACTGGCTTTCCCTTCCTTAGAAACAAACATTCCTGTCATACTTTTTTAAGAACAGTTGTCTGTTCCTAAAGTTGGATTTCATTTGACTTACAGTTTTATCTCCTGGCCAGTAGAGGGTTTCATAACCACAATTATAAAACACATCCAAGAACATACTGAATGGGTTTGTAAGGGGCTTCCCTTTCTTGCCTTCTCCTGTGTAGTTTTATCTCTTCCTCTTCATAAACACCTATCTTGTAATTGTCATGGATTAGTATGACATTATTTCTATGAAGATGCAATTCATAATCTATTTACAAGAGTGAAAAACTTACTCCTGTCCAGTTTCATAGTAATTCCATAGTATTGCAAACCATTATTTGAATTTAAACAGTTGTGCTTGCCTTAGCAATTCTAGTTCAGGCCTATTTGAATAACGTTTATGTTATTGGCATGTCAGGCTCTTGGCTGGAGCTGATAAGGTACAGTGCTATCATGATGTGCTGGTTTTTGCAGTGGATATGATATTTGGCTAATTAGATATAGTTGTAGTGATCTCTTCATCTGCTGCTCTCCTTCTCTTTCTTCCCTCAACCTCAGCTTTAAAAACAATGCAAGTTTATTCTTGGATTAACCTGGTACAGCACGTTATGGAGACAAACCCTTGTTACATAGGTGACCTTTAAGAATGATCAAATTCATAATTTGCAAGATGGTTTAAATGTCAGGCCTTCTAGTGAATTGTAGCACAATGTACTTACAGACTTGGCACCGGAGGAGTAGATTTGTTCACAGTTTAGTTGACAGATGAAGGAAGGTATCGCTGTTTTTCAGCTGCATGTATTTCCCCTCCTGGTCCCCTTTTCCTCAATTTTACTAATAGAAGTAATTGTGCAAGCACTTGCTGACTTTGCTTAAAGCAGATAAGCTGAACTCAGATTTTGTTTGAAATTGCTTGCACAACCTGTTTCATCCAATATCTTCTCTTGTAGGCAAAGGAGGACTTAGTTTAGTTGTATTGTTTTCTGCAAGATCACCTGTGTGTGGCATGTATGTTCTGTAGTGTGTAAATTTTCTGCTGGCTGAACCATAACTTTTTGCAGGTAAAATTGTAAAGATGTCAGGGTATTTTAATAATCTTCTGCAAAATTTTTCTCTTTTTTTTGTAGGTTGCTGTAATCTTTTTACCTAGAGATAAAGGGGATTACTCCCAGTTCTGGGACCTTGAGTGCCACCCAGTTGAAAAGCCTAGTTGGAAACATAAATTAAAATTTCAGCTTTCTGGGACAGTGAGTATATAAAATGCTATAAATGCTGTCTTGAGCAGAAATTTTTGATAATATCTTGATTTTACTATACAGTACTCTTATACTCTGGTATATTCTGAAAAAACCCAACCTTTCTAATATTTTTGTTGGGCTAAATTGTATTGTTTTTCTTATGTTACAAAAATACATTCTCTCTCTTGCTTATGTGATATGCTTATGGCATTATCTTTTGCCATGTAAGATGTAAGACTTTATTTTTCTCAGAGTAAGTAGAGAGAAAAACTTGCCTTCGGGAGGAGTTGTTTCTGTAGGCAAAGATTTTTTTGTATAAGACACTAAGTGGTTTGGTTTTATCTTTGTAAATAAATAGCAAAGTAACTGCCCTTTGCTATATTATGTAAATGCAATTTTGGAATTTTCTAATATCCAGATTGGAGGTATCCACATGTCTCTAAATGAACCTGTTTCAGTATTTTATCAGAGTAACAGTGTGGGTGGGGGTGATGCTGAGATTTGTGTATGGAAGCAATTGGGTTTGAGCTCTCCTCTGCTACCCTGTTGTTCCTCAGCTCAAACTTTATAGTAGGGCTTGGAAGAAGAGTGTTAGAATTTAGAAGTGGTTTTCTGTGCTCTCTCTCCTTACCTTGCTTTTAATCCCTACCTCACCATCCATACAAGAAAAATTTACATAGGACAGAGGATTTACCATAAGGAAGAATTAGTTCTAATGATTAGTTAAATAAGCTGAATGTGAAGAGCTTTGTACATTCAATATTGCGTGATTGCTATATGTGCTTTGCTGTCCTTTCCAGAGGGTTTGACTTGAGTTTTCTCAGAAGCCCAGACAAAGATTTGGGATCGTTCTGTAGAGAACCAAGGCTGCTGCAGTAGTAGGAACCTTACTTACCCTTCTTGCTGGGGTACCTTACATTTTATTTTGTAGGATCCTTGTTCTTTCCAAATTAATTTTGTTGAAAGATAGTTAAATAACTTTTGACTTTTGGCATAAAAGTCCTGTATAGTGTGTGGTTTGGGAGGCTTTTTTACTCAGCTTTCATCAAATTCTTTGAACATAATTTCTCTGAAAGTGAGGAAAACATCTAAGTTGTTTGTCTGTTTAAAGCTAGTTGAAATAGAGAGAAGATTAATTCTTCAACAGAACTCTGGAGTTTTAAAGAATTCTCTTCTTAAAACGTGACTAATTGTCAGAGCTTTATAAATCTTTGAGCAGCATAACTTGATATTAATGTTTTTGAACTACTGTGTCAAGATTTTTTCTTGATTTTTTTTTTCCCAAAGCTATTAACAATTAGATCTTTCTAGCATCTCTGCACATGGGAAAAATTTTGTAGAAAATACTTGAAATGCATGTCACTATCATTTTCAGAAAGATTTGAAAAGGAAGAACTTTATTTATCAACTAGTAAGGAACTGTACATCTATTTGGGAGAGGGATCTACACAGAACCTTTACTCAGATTGTTGCAGCTTTTAGTTGAGAAGACAAGTCAATTATAATCTGTTATGTCCTAGGAATCAAGGGTTTAGACAGTGTTACTACAACTTTGGAAGGGACTTGAAATCTGGTGGTTTTGCTGAGGCAGAGGGCTACAGCTGTGGTTAATGTGACTTTTGATAGAATCAGGTGGGAAGAGTTGACTGTCATTCAGAGTGGCATTTATTTATAGCACCACTTCAAAAGAAATGAAAACTTTGGAAGAGCTCAGGAAGGAACTAAAAGAACAAGGTTAAGTTAGGAAAATCAGTGGCACATACCACTTTTATTTTTTTTCCTGAAAAATTACTAACTGTACCTTTGATTATGCTCTGCATGTGTTTGCAGTTCTCACCACTGGAAACTGTAATCAGGAACTCAGATCATCATATCTCCAAAGCTGGTCCCAGAGAAAAAGAAAGAAGGGATTCTATATGTACTTTGCAGCCCCAACCTCTCAATACTAGTCATTCAAACTTTGTTTTTTCTTTTCCTGAGAAACATTAGTTGGGCTGCTGTTGGGGGTCGTTCTAAGATCATTGAGCTAAGAGTGACTGTTGCCATTGTGCACAGAAATGTTGGACTGGTATTTTGGTCTAATTATTGGTCCTTTCTGGGTGAACTAGCAAGCACCTACCACAAGGCTGGGACAGCACAGAAGTCCTTTCTGCTCTTCTAGCATGTAGAAAGTTGAACTTCATAAAGAACCCCTGCTATTGTTTGAAGATACCACAGATGTTAAGTGCGTGCCATTTTTTAATTTACATGGTTTATATACTTTAAAAGTTACGCAGTTACACAGCTCATGTATCGTTTTGCAGCAAACTGAGATGCTTTTATGCTTAACACAAAACTTACTGCTAACAAAGAGTTCTTGATTTGATTACTATTATGAGCAGCACAAAGCTTGATCACCTTTGGGTATTCCCCTCCTGTGAGGGGAGGGTAAAAAATCTTTTTAAACTCTGTGAGCAAAATAATTCCAATTTTCAAGCTGTACAAATTTTTGTGCTTCTGAGGTGGATTTGGGACAGCAGAACTCAATTGTAACCATTTGGAATGTTATCATACTGCTCCCATTTGAAACAGGAGAATTCAGTACAGGCTATGGTAAAGCACGCAATACTTCAAGATGCCCTTAAAAAGACTAGGGTAACTTCTGATAATTTTCCATAGTGTACCTTATTCTCATGCAGTCAACTTGCCTTCTGATAAATCAGAACTTGAATGATAACAGAGGCATGATACCCATAGTTTTTCACTACATGGAATATTAAAAGCTCTGGAAACAAGACACGTGCAAGTCCTTTCTTGTCTTTATATATTGGGGTCTACTGGGGTTCATGGGTTATTTGCAACTGAAAAATATTCTTTAAGAATTTTTTTTTGGCTGCCGCTATTTCTGACAGGCTGATTAGCAGCTCTTTCAATAGAAGAAATGAATGCCTAAAAGACAAGTTTGTCATAGCAGCTCTATTGAAGATGAATCTATTTTTTTCATCTTCCCTGCGTAAGGGAATCAACTGCTTGTCTAAAACGTCAGCACCATTTCAGAAATTGACATAATGTTGTACAACCGAAAGTGTAGGAGGTTCTTTTGGTTCTTTAACTTTGTTTAAGATGTTGTGACCCAAGGGACTCCAAGCAGTATCTGGCTAGATTCGTTAAGCAGTGCGGAATTTGAAATTGGTTATTTTGCTAAGTATTTCCTTAGGGTGATCTGACCTCCTTGTGTTAGAATACACTAAATGGGCATCCTGATGATGGTAAATATTTTGGCCTAATTTCTGAGTGTACAAATACTCTATAATACTTCATCTGATTCTGCCTCTCTGGAGAGGCCTTTCTTTGAGAAAGATGTATTGTTCATAACACAAAATTATTACAAAGCTTTTTTCTTGTTGTGAGAATTCAAATTATAATGCTGACTTATGCCTTCCTTCTTTTTGAGCAGTTGTTTAGCCAGCTTGGTTGTTCTTGAGACATATGGGCAGAATATCTGCAGAGGAATTGGGGTTTTTTTTGGCTTTTAGTAAAATCTTTGTTGCTAGCAGCCTTCTTGAGATTCCACCTGCACTGCTAGTTTGTTGTGAACTGTCTTGTAACAAATAAGTATTCGTAAAGCACAGAAGCATGTTAAAGTATTCCTCCTGAGTTATTGCTTTTATCTCAATGATCCAGACTCTCCTTTTCCTGGAAGATTATACTTTAAATAAAAGGTCTGGGATTGGGTAAGGGGAATGACTTATGTACCGGAATACTTAAATACTTTTGAATGTGAAGTTTACAGGCTTCTCTATTTTTTCCAATAGGGTGCTAAACCAGAAAGTGCAACTCCAGTTGTGGAAGCTTCTGCAAGTGCCCTTACAAAAACTGAGTTGCCAGTTATACCAGAAAAGAAGGTTTACTCTGAAGGACGCACAAGAATAGGGTATGTATGGACAAAACTTGAAAACAGTGTGTCTGCAACTGGGTAAAAGGGTTGGGGGGTGGAACCCGACCCCACAACCAAAACCTGTTTTACTATTGGGACATCTACATGATGGAACAGGCTGCACAGAGAGGCTGTGAAGTCTCTGTCCTTGAAAATTTTTGGGATCTAACTGGACAGCCTGGTCTTACCTCACAGCTGACCCTGACTGGAGGAAGAGGTTGATCTGGAGACCACCTGAGTATCTTCTGACCTGAATGACCCTATGATTCCCGGTTAAAGAGTAAACAGCTGCAAAAAACAGACTTGCCAAACCTTTTAATGCCTCTGTATTGTTCAGTCTCATAGGCTTCTCCTTTTCAGTTTGGTGTCTAAGTTGTTTGACCATGATATGCTGTGGTAAATGAACTGGTATCGGCAGTAGAATTTTGTGAATACTTTTTCTATATTTGCCTTTTGGAGACTCCAACTGACTATAAAGTCAATTCTGAGAAAACCACTGTATTGCATGTCTTAACCTTGCTCTTCTTCAGTCTAAAGTTAATTTTCAGTTCTTTTCCTGTGGGATGATATGAATATGTCAAGGGGAGTAAAATTTTTTCGTTAAACATGGCATCTCTGAGAAGAGTCTAGTTCTCAAGTAAAGCATATGGAGGAAAAATTCAGACTTTGAAAGTATGTATAGGTAAATGACTGTATGCCACATGATGCTTTCATTATTCTTTCTGGCTAAAATATCTTGCCTATAGAACTTAAGGTGAGAGAGTTGATATCTTCTGGATCTTTCCATTTTTCCTGATTTAATCTCAGAAAATACACCTGTTATCTTTAAGTATGCAATCAATATATCCAGATCATATAAGTCAGAAATGTTAATATCTTAAATCCCTTTTTCAAATTAGACAAAAGGAGATAATTCAAGGGGTATATGCACCACAAGACCTCTACGTTTTTCCTCCAGCAAGAGTTGGGGAAACATGTACATTAAAGGTCAACTTACGGAATAATTCGCTTAAAACACATGTGGTAAGTTTGACAGACTTTGTCTTAAACAGATAGTTCAATTGCACTGTTTTTTGTTTTCTTTTATTCTTCACAAAGATTGCAATAGTACAAGTCTTAGTTTGTTAGTTTCGAAGGCCAATACTTGAAGAATTTTAGTCTCCTGCAAGTTTTCTCTTTTGTGACTGAATAACTGAGTGTATTTTTAATATGTTTACAACTGAAAAAATAATATAGGCTTGTTATTATTCTGATATAGTGATTTCATTTCTTAACTTTATTAAAATATGGAGGTAAGAATTTTTTTTCTTTTTGCAAGTGTGGGCATTCTTTATTTTTACACTATGGGTCTGTGTACGACTGTATTTGTGAGTGACTTGATTTATCTTAAGCATGTCATAAATTGAATATGATAGGCATATATATAGTGCACTTTTAAGTATTTCATATTAAATTACAGCTGGAATTTTTAAGTCCCAGAGAGCCTTTCTACATCAAGCACTTGAAATACTCTCTAAGGTGAGTAATGCGTATGCTAACATTCTCTCTCTCCTAACAAAAAAATTAACCAAGTAATTCAGTAAGATAAATATCTTATGTATATGTACAGTGCTAAAATATAGATAAAAATATTCTTGTCTAGGTAAAGGGTTGGGCTTTTTTGTTGCCTTTTTTTTGGTTAAGTTTTGGGATTTTGTGTGAGGGTTTTTTGTTGTTTTTTTTTTTCTTGCCAAGCTGTACTCTAATCTTGGTTAGAAGCAGAATGAGACCACACAGTTATTTCTGCATCTGCCAATTTCTTCCCTGCAAATTGTTTCTAACAGTGCTGCTGCTTTTAATGTTAAGCTTAATGCTTCATGTAACCATTTGGCATGCTGTGCACAATCAAGTCATTCCTTCCATTTATACTTTCTGCACAACAGACCAAGCAAATTGCCTTCATCATGCTTCTAATTTGACAAACCTGCAGAGCTGCATCAAAGACTCTCTGCAAATACAAGGTTTGAGCAGCCAGTGGAATTGCCTGGTCATACCAAGTATTTCAGCATTTTACCTGCATAAAAGAAATTTTCGAGTTGGTGGTAACAATCCCTGAAAATAAACCCAGTCATCTGTGGAGTTCATTACAGCAAGTATTTGACAGTAGTATTAGTCATCTCTTCCAGAAGTATAGCATCTCACATGCTCATCTGCAACAGTGGGATTATCAGGAAGGCAGAAATGCCACCATTTCATTATAAGTTTTACAGCATACATTCTCAGTGTTTGGACAGGGTCCCCATTTTAAACACAGGGAAACTAGGAGTATACAGGACAAAAATTGGGAGCAAAATTCTAAATGGAGCTAGGTATTCTGACTCCTAATCTGCTTGGCATTTACTATAAAGATAGGGCTGTGGTGGTGTTAGCCAAAGGTATTCAAGGTATTCTTAAGGCCACTTATCAATGCAAATTGTTGTAACTCCACTTAGGCATGTGTTCCAGTGTTTTTATTTAACTGTCATTTTTAAAAAATATTTCACATGAGATGGCACAGAAGGGTTTTTTTATGGAGGTAGTGACCAAGATAAAATCTGTCCAAATAAAGATAACCTAGCTAGATCTGGGTCTGTACAGCTGAAGACAAAGGACAGGATAACTTGATTTTGTCATCCTTGACAAAAAGATGAGTAACTTCACTGGAAGACACTCTGATATTTCAAAACTATTCTTGAGAAATGCTGTAAAAGCTATTTGGTGTATTTTCTGTAATAAATTATGAACTCCTACTCCATTTTTCTAAAGTAGACTTAACAAGTTTAAAAGTCAGTCTACTTTTTTTTTTCTAATAACTTTGACTGTTTTTTCTTTGGTTGTAAATACTGGCCTTTCCTAGCTTTTTAAAAAATAACTTATCTGAAGTCAACATATAGCACTCTGAAGAAATTCTCCCATTTATGAGCATAAAGCACAGAATTACTTGACTCAGATAGATGCTTTTAAATAAGTGTTAAAAGTGTTTTAAATGTTTTGTTTAAGAATAGCGTCAAGGAGGCTATTAAGAGCCAATGTTAACTGTTTCCATCTAAACTAGATCCTTCTGAATTTGGACATCATATGAAGTAATGTTCAAAACTAACTGGATAAGAAAACTGCAGGAACTTGAAATGTTAGTCTGTAAATAAGAGTGTAAAAATGGAAAGTACCACCTACCTATATGTTTTTTACCAAAAATGTGTTAGGTAGTAAACATGGTCTGTTGCATGCTGTGAATTTTGAGGTCCAAATTTGAAAGCAAGTTTTTGTGTAATCAAGTTTTACATCTGGATAATGAAGCTGCAAGTTTGTATTTAATATCGAGTCCGACCTTCAGAAGTTGTTGGTACAGTGGCTTTGCCAGTTCTTCAGTTGGTTATGTCATCACAAGTACCAGCACACAGCACTGCTACAGAATTTTGTCTTGCATCTATTTTTTTTTTTTTTTACTGCAAAGAGAATACTTTTAACAAGATGGGTCCTAAAGGATACAAACATATGGATGAAACATGAAAAAACACTGGACTTTTAAAAAAGTGTTTGGCTAAGTTGGCTAACTACCAAGTTGTTATGCCTATTAAAAAAAGAGTTTGAAAACAAAGGTGTTTCTATTATATTGCTTTCAGAACCCATCTGAAATAAGTTGATTACAGGGTAGCATATGTTTTAGATAATAGTAAAGGTAGAACTGTTTGTTTGGAGGTTTTTTCTTCACTGATGATTTTTGTTTCCAATAGCCATCCTTCTGGGTGTCAGGGGTTGCTATTCATTGATGAGCCATCTGGTTACTGTGGCTTAGATGGTGCTTACCCATGTTGTTCCTTTTCAGCTTACCTACTGCAGTGTTTAGTTTGTCTATGAAACAGGCTTCAGACATGCCTGACTTTTCAGAAATACCACTTCAAACTGGTGCAACAACCTGTAGAAGCCATACAGTATTCAAAGACTAATTGAGTTGCAGGCATAAGGGGAAGTTTGAAATAAAATAAAAGGTTTTTTTTAATAAGAGAAAAAGAATTAATTACAGGGTAGTTTCCTTGTCCTGACGCTATTTTTGACTAGTTTCTAGCTACTCTACTTGAGAAAAATGCTCCATGTTGCTTTGTTTCTAAGAACATTTATGCTATGTAGTAGCTCAAAGAGCTGTTGTATCTGGAATCTGAGCTTTCTAGTTTTGTTAGCTGAAGAAAATGAAAATAACATCTTTCCCTTTGGATTAGGAAGCAAGTGTGGTGAGTCTTATCTCAATTGTTAGAAATCAACTGACTGCTACAAAACAGACTATGTAATGTCTGACTAATTCTGCTTTTAGGGAAGAATGATAATGTGTTTAGCACTTAACAAATGGACACCTGCGTTTAGAGGTCAAGAGGAATTTAATATAGCTGTCATACGCTAAGAAACTGCTCTGCCTTGAGTACCACTGGGGTCATATAGTACATAATCTGGAAATAAATATTTGACAGCCAGATGTGGCCATATCTTAAAAACAGTAATACATAACTTACTGTTGAGTTTTTGATAGTGTAAGTTTGAGTTTGGTTGTATTGTTCTTTTTAAGTGTTATGTAGTATGTAAGGAAGCATACATATATTATTATATATAGACTTCTGCAGCTCTCCTGGCTTTCTACTGAATTTGCTTTTATTTTTGTGAATTCTTAGGTGGCCTAGTTATATGCAGCTTCAGACTATATTCCTAGTAAAATTTGTGTTTTCTAACATAATGCATGTTACAGATTAAGTAGTTGTACTGATGTTCTTCACTTAAAAAAATGGATTTCTTAAAAATAAGCTGAATAAGTATCTTCAACCTGTATATTGTAGATGGAGAAAGAGACAAAGCCTGCCAGATTTGTTATACAACACTTGGCAATGAAGTATGAGACCTGAAACTCTAATCTGGTTGTATTCCTTTGGTACGCTGTTGATTGTGGTTCAGTACAACATATTTAGTGCTTTGTTTCTGTATTAACCCGATTGAAAAAAATACAGTACCATACCAGTCTTTATTCTGAAGGTGTGTATTCTTAGTTGATTGACCAGGATCTGGTAAAAACAAAAAAAAAGAAAATTTAAAACCAAAACAAAACAACCCCCAAAAAAACAAAGAAGAAAACAAAATACATTTACTAGTGTGCCTCTTTTAGCACTAAGGGTGGTACTAGCAAATAAGGATTGCATGTAGGGCCAGTATTATGATTTTCAAATGTAGATGGTTAAGAACACAGACTGACTATGATAGGTTGAATTAGTGTAGAGAAAAGGAATATGAAAAGGTAGGAACAAAACGAGAAAAAGTAGGGGATATAAGCACATTCCAGAGGGCTTTAAGGAGAGAAAACTGAAAGTACAATAAAAGCAAACAAAGCTTTCTTTTCTTTTTCTACTAAGTGATGCTGTTCATTTTTCCTTGTTCCGGTATGTGCCTGTTACTGTTACCTCTCTCTTAGTGCTGGATATTTCTATTGCATGCCATGGAATCCAGTTGGCTGCCACTCAACATTTCCAACTTACTGCTTGTACAGCTTATATTTTTAAATTATTCAGTCTAGGCTTTTGACAGTTGACAGAGCGACCTATTACATTTGGTATGTTTTTATGCAATCTGAGTAGAAGAGGAATTATATAACCTAAAAAGGTGTAAAAATGTCTAAAACACTCTTTGAGGATGGGTATATTGATTTGCAATGATTCAGCAAAATGTTTCTTAACGTGGAGGCAATTAAAGTAATGGAAAGTACTTTAGTATCTTCAAATATGTGGAATTCAAAACACGAATTGAAAATTTTAAGTGTATTTGAAACATGATTTTTCAAGGGAAGAAATGCAGTAATTATGCTCTAAATATAGTTTACATACTGTCAATATTATTGCAAAGACCAAACTCATTCAGGTAAACTAGCAGCAGTAAAGTATTGTCGTACTTTGTATAATCAGTAGGAAAAAACGACCTTTATGATCAAAGTCCCTCAGAAGAAAAATAGATAATTAAATCTGTAAAAATAAACTTGATGATCCAGTGCACATCTGATACACCATTTTAGTGAAAATGAAAAGTAGACAGGAATTTGTCTGACTGTTAGGATTAACTCATTAATTAATAATGAATATACCCATAATTGCCTTTTTGTAGATCCCATCATTACATCAATGTGCCAGTCCAGTTCAAGCCAAAGGCAGAAGGAATATTTGAAGATCTCTTCGTTGTGCTGACAATGGAATATGGCCCAGTTAATATTCGGCTACGTGGTAAAGCTATTCCAAAAAAATAGTCAGAAGAATTTTATGAGTGTTTATAAGAATTTATAACAGTTTATACCACTTAAGATATTCAAAGGTTTGCTACTATATTTCTGTACTAATGTCTTACTTGTTTTGCCCTGTGATGCTGCTTTGATGGAAAGAATTCTGTAAGATAAATGATGGTGCTTGTCTTACAAATCTGTTTTCATAGTAAAAACATTGAGAAATAACATTGTATGTTTTAAAGTTATAATTTTCTAATTTATGTTTCTGCACTTTTGATGAAAATGGAAGTTTTCTATTTTTGCATTTATTGGGAATAGCTAGATACTGATATATTTTATTTTAAGCATTGTAAATACAGAAATAAAATCTATGTGTAAACAGTTGATTCTACCTGATTTCTGGTTTTGTTTAGAGGATTCTTTGCTGAGGGTAAGGGATCAAGCTGCCTACTCTTAGACAGTGCTAATTTTTTGTTGGGTCTTTGGGGGAGCAGGGGGAGGAATTGCAGTACAGAAGCTGACCTGTAAATATTGTGTTTCCATCTCGTGACACTGGGACCAGATCAATGATCTGACAGTCAGCCCCTAGCTTTTTACACAGTTCATTGTGAAAACAGTGTAAATTTTAATATGAGCAGTACTGCCTTCAGCCCTCCAGAGTGGTGCATCTTACCCAGTGAGTGTTCTGTCTCTTAACAGTCACAAAAAAAATGTTCCTTTGGAAGATGACATAAGCCTGGCTGCTTACTGGTTCAATTCCATTTCCTCAACATCTTCAATCTTTGGATTAGGAATGGGAGGTAGAATCCCACCTATCCCTTTTTTCCGTTTATTGGCCTGTTTGTGAAATTACCTGTTCACATTTTTTAACCCTTTTGATACTCTGTTTCCACAAACGTGGGAGCAAGCTCTGAAAGTTCACTGTATACTCTTTTGACAAAATTTTTGTTCTATGATAAACTGACTTATTTCTAATTTTGTTAAGTACTCTCCAGTTTGTAAATTGTAGGAGTCATTGAACAACAGTTCCACAATCACCTTACCCATTGTTACCATGTCACAGAATCACAGAATAGTTTGGGTTGGAAGGGTCCTTTAAAGGTTGTCTAGTACCAACCCCCTTGCCATGACCAGGAACATCTTCAACCTACACCAGGTTGCTCAGAGCCCCATCCAGTCTGACCTTAAATGTTATTTCCAGGAATAGGATGTCTTCACTGCTCTGGGCAACATGTTCCCAGGACACAATTGGCTTTCTGGGCTGCAAGTGCACATTGGTTCATGTCCAATCTCTTATCCACCGGCACCCTCAAGCCCTTCTCAGCAGAGCTGCTCTCAGTCTGCTCATCCCCCAGCCCATGTTGATACTGGGAGTTGCCTTGACCCAGGTGCAGCACCTTGTGCTTGGTCTTGTTGAACTTCATGAGGTTTCCATAGGCCCACTTTTCAAGCTTGTCCGGGTCCCTCTGGATGGCATCCCATCCTTCAGATGTGTCAACCACACCACTAAGCTTTGTGTCATCTGCAAATTTGCTGAAAGTGCACTTGATCCCTTCATTCACGACATTAATGAAGATATTAAATAACATTGGTCCCAATACAGATCCCTTAGGGACACCACTTGTCACTGGTGTCCATTGGAACTCTCAGCTGTTGACCACTACCTTCTGAATGTGACTGTCCAACCAATTCCCTATCCACCAGACAGTCCACCCATTGATTGAATCCATCTCTCCAGTTTAGAGAGAAGGATGTTGGGGGGGACTGTGTCAAAGCTTTACGGAAGTCCAGATAAATGACATTTTTAGCCCTTCTCATGTCCACTGGTGTGGTCACTCCATCATAAAAGGCCACTAGGTTGGTCAGGCAGAACTTTCCCTTGGTGAAGCTGTGCTGGCTGTCCTGAGTCGCCTCCTTGCCCTCCATGTGCCTTAGCACAGCTTCTAGGAGAATCCGTTCCATGATCTTCCCAGGCACAGAGCTGAGGCTGACAGGTCAGTGGTTCCTGGGGTCATCCTTTTTACACTTTTAAAAAATGAGTGCAGTGTTTCCCTGTTAACAATCACCTGGGACTTCACCATCATGACTTTTTAAATATCATGTCCTTTATACCCTGTGGTGCTGTCTGCTATTTTATTTTTGTAACATGGAGCTTCACATCTGAAATTGCTTTAAGCTAGAAATGTAGCTTTCTGACAGCATAGTTCTGTCATAGTTTATGTACCTTATTCCTTTCTTCAAGTTGGTAAAAGCGTGAGTGAAATTCATTTTGGTAGGAGGTTGTTTGTTTAACAGCATTTTCAAACAACTGAAATTTGAAAAAACAGGGAGGAAAAACTTGAAGTACCCTTCTCATTGCCTTTGATATATGCCGTCAGTATTTAGAAGTACGTGAACGCTACTGTTTCTTTATAAAACCTCCTTTCTCAGCAGTCTGGAAACCAGGAAGGGAAGATTTATTAAAAGGAATTAAACTAGAGAAGTCTTGCCACCTCCTTATTCTCCCAACACGTATTCTCCTGTCTCTGAGATCCTGTTACCATGTTCTTCTTTCTCTCTTTCTGCCAGATGTTGCTCGCATTGTTTCTTTAGTTGATGTGTACTTCTGAATAGAGAATTGGAATAAAGTGAACCTTCTATCTGCTGCTTCACCTCAGCAGGCTTGGCTGCTTCATTTGGGAAAGACCTTAGGTACAAAAGGCTATGTTTGTGCAGTTTTAGAAGCACAATCAGAAGTCTCTTTCAAAACTGCAAAAAAGACTGAGCAGCCTTTAAATTAAAATAAGAAGCCCTAAGTTTGGATAATTATGTATTTGTTCTAGATTCAAAATTGTCTTTGTGTGCTGTTCCTATAGCAGACCTGATATCTTGGACTCTCTACACACTTTTGTTATGGGCTTTTCTTGTGATGAGAAGAACTGGGAGGAATGGTTATGGATTTTTTCCTGTGTTGCCACCTGGACTGGATGTGAGAGAAGAAAAGGATGCAGGATGTGCTGCTGTGGATACTCTGGTGAACTGTGCTTGTGTGCACAGATGTGTAAGTATATGTATGGGTGAAACACATTTAGAAGAACAAGTATGAGCAAATGATCTGCCCTTGTTATCCGAGGGAATCCTGATTTGCAGGTGATGGTAAATATTTTGGCATCTATTTGCAGCCCAGTGTGCTTGTTTTACTCCTAATAACGACTTCCTTTGCAGTGTGAAGTGGAAGTTACAGATTTGTAATTCTATATCCAGATGCAGTGCTGGAGAACATCCGTAGAGCACTTGTACCAGCAGCTATTTGAAATATTTTGCCATACTTGTATTTATAAGACAAATCAAAATGTAAGAAGGATAGGTAATCTTTTAATATTTTAACTCTTCTACTCCCCAGGCTGCTGTTGCACAAATATTAAAAAGAAGTTTGTATTAGTACTACATGATGGGTAATTAACCAAGAAGAATAATTCTGCTGAAGAATATATTGTGCATGACTCCCCCTCTTCCCCCCAGTTTAAGTACCCCAATACTATTTTGGTACGATTACAACCATCACTGAATGTATTCGCAATAATTGCCATCTCAAGACTTGACTTTGGCATGTATGGGTAAAGGAAATTTTCTCTTGGAAAAGATATACTCTAGTGTGTGCAATGCAAACTCAAGCCCAAGTCTGATATACAAATGATTTGCCAGTTCTGGATAAAGTCTTTAACCAGTAATGAAGGTGCAAGAGCTAGAGCATAGCCATTGTATTTTTAGATACAGAATGGAAACATCAGTGGGACTTTAAAAGTCTTGAGGAAGTCATTTCAAACTGGTTGCATTCTCAGTCCATAGACTGAGGCTGCTTCCTTTCCCCATAGTTGACCAGTTTTCCAAGACTGCAGGTTTGATTAAGAGTTTGAACCATAATACTTTTGATAAAATAAGCAGAATTAGTTTTATGTATAATTCTTCTCTCATTTTGCTCTTTGTCAATTTTGATACTTTTTTCAATTTTCTTGTGTTGTTGGGTACAATCTCTTGTCTCAGACTGGCAAGACTGACTCAAACTTCCCGAGCAGCAAACTTTAAAAAATCCCAAACAAACCTGAAATGATGTCTTTTTAATTACACTCATCTTACTTGTTTTTAACACCAGTCAGAGAGAAAATTAAGAAATAAATTATTTTTAAAAGTTCTTTTAGTGTCTAGCACTGAGGATGTCTTTGTACCTGCTCAACCTAATTGGGATATTACTAATCATAATTATTCAACAGCTTTGTAAAGTTTTCACATCATTGACTACAAATGGAGTTATAATACATTCTGTACACGTGCTTCAGTGTGTTTTGGAGATTGTTACCCTGGCATCTGAAACTAATTAGCGTTCAGAAAACCTAGTAAAGGTGCATATCAAGGCCTGGCTGTCTAGAAGATTATTTTGATCATATAAAAGGTTAAAATGGTAAAGAGAATTTTGTGAGTGTTTTTTGGTGTATAAAGTAAGTTACTGAGGGCAGTGGTGGCTTTTTGAACTAGAGTACTAAATGCTTTGGGGCATTTCTGTTGTAGAAATGCCTGATAAGTGAAATGCTGGTATATTCTTGCTCCTATGATTTGTGGAGGAGGTGGGTGGCTATGGGGCTGACGAAGTTCACTATGAGTTCAGTAGGTAATGTATTTTCTGCAGGTGAAGCATATCAATTTTCTATATTGCAGCATCTTTGAAAATGAAAGAAGGGATTATGGGAACAAAAGCCCTTGGAAACCAGTGAGAGAGTGGGCAGCTGACCTAAGATCAGTTGTCCCTAGGACTATTATTGAGTATCCTGACTTTTAGCTGTCTTCTACCTTTTATCCCAAAAAACCTAGATAATAGAACTTTGTGCCTTACTTTTTTCATTGTATAGCATAAATGAAGAATATACATCTTATCAGGAAGACAGGCATGACTTTTCAAACCTAATGCAATGTGCTGAATCTATAGTAAGAGCAAAACCACCTTACTTGCAGCATAAGAAAGTTAAGACAGAAAATGAAAATTCTTACAATAACATACTGTTTGACCACAAAGCTTCCCTAAGCGTTTCCTTCAATCCTGCATGCTTTATTTTTACTGTATGATTGTCTGAGCACACTCTTACATGAACATTTTTAGATGTAAAATCAGACGGATATAAAGCACTTGGATTAATTTTGTGTAAGTACTGTCTCTGAAAACTGGATGCTTGAGTGGCAAGTTTTGGCTCTAGACATTTCCAACGTGGAAATGTTGTTTTGATTTTTGCCCCTTCTCTCTGATTCTAGGAATGTTCTAGTTATTTGTAGAGCTGCTCAAGAGCTCAGAGAGTTGCAACTAAATTTTTGTTCTGAATAATCAGCATA